TGCTGGCTGATATCGGAACAAAGGATGGCCTGGAGATGTCACTGCCTTGATCTTTTCATTATAGGTTGCTACTTCCCAATGGAAGTGTGTGGGGTGTAGACCTAAATGATTCTGGCCCAACTTACATGTCTGAACGCATCTCCCCTTATGAACCATCTAGGACCTTAAGATCATCTGGGGAGGCCCTGCTCTTGTTACCGCCTTCGTCACAAGTACGTTTGGCGGAAATGAGAGACAGGGTCTTTTCGGTGGTGGCCCCTCAGCTGTGGAACGCCCTCCCTTAGATCGGCAACTTCCCTTTTTCCAGAAAAAAGTCAAGATGTAGCTTTTTGAGCAAGCATTTGCAAATACAGAGTAACTGACACAGGAAAATGGAACAACAATGAGTCCGGACAACGTTTTTAACAAGAAGACACTATGAATTTATATTTTATAGATTTGTTTAGTTTTTTTATTATATGTTATGTTTTTAATTGTATTTATGACATTGTAAACATTGCACTGTTAACTGCCTTGAGTTGCCTGTGGGCTGAGAAAGGCAGTATACTCCTTACAGGGAGTTTAAGGAGTTCCACTGGCTGCCATTCATTTTTTGATCCCAATTCAAGGTGCAGGTGCTTACCTACAAAGCCCTAAATGGTTTGGGACCCGCCTACCTGCGTGACCGCATCTCTGTGTACGCACCCACACGATCTCTTCGTTCATCCGGAGAGGCCCTGCTCACGATCCCACCTGCATCACAAGCGTGATTGGTGGGGACGAGGGACAGGGCTTTCTTGGTGGTGGCCCCTCGACTCTGGAACTCCCTCCCTAAGGACATCAGGCAGGCCCCGTCGCTAGCAATTTTTAGGAGGAGCTTGAAAACGTGGTTGTTCCAGTGTGCCTTCCCAGAATAAGGAAACTTCTAGCATTATGTCCCAACGTACCTTATCAGAGATCCAGGATATCTGCATGCTCATCCCCCTCCAAACACCCCACCTTGTCATGTCCAGCACTTTTTAAATTTTAATTATTACATTTGGCCCTGCCATTGTTTTTAATTGCATCATTGTGTGTTGCTAATGTTATTGCCTTGTTTATGAGTTTATTTATTGTTGTATTTTTGTTGTTTTTACTGATGTATTTCGGCTCGGCCTCTTGTAAGCTGCACCAAGTCTTTCGGGAGATGGTAGCAGGGTACAAATAAAGGTTTATTATTATTATTATTATTATTACAAATGCAGTAAATAAAATAAATCAATAAATAGACTTCCTGAGATAATGTGCCATGTGTCATTAAGAGCCACATCCACTTTTTAGCATGGTGAGATGTGTTCCACATTGGGCATGTGTATTCAGCAGTGGAGTAGTAACGTGCCAGGGCAGATGTCTTCACTGTGTCTGGTTGTGAAACCCAGGTTGTGCCAGTCAGCTTTCATATTATGGTATTGTAGAGAAGTGTTTATTATACTGTGTTTTAAACTGTGTTTATGCTTTACATTGTGGCCATGGCCTAGCTGAGAGAGATAGGTTGCCATGGTGACAAGCCAGAGGAGGTGGGCGGAGCTTAAGTAGAAAAGGTTTGGAAAGCGACAGTTTATTTTCAGTCAGGCGGATGAGACCCTGAGAAGAGTAGCAGAGTCAGATAGGACTCTGGAATATTAGTTTGAGTCAGGCGGATGAGACCCTGAGAAGAGGAGCAGAGTCAAAGGGGCTCTGTGGAGTAGTGTAAATTCAGTTAGTTCTTAGGATCTGTGAATATTACTCCAGCTAGGAAGCTGAAGGTGAAACCTCGTTAGATTGCTTGAGTAAAAAAGAATCTAACAAGAAAGGGGTTTAGGGATCCCAGTGGTGAAAAACTGGAGATCGTTGGTTTGATCCTGTGTAGGACAAACAGTTGTAAATATTCACAATAGGGAACACTGAAATAATAAAGTACCTCACTGTAGAAGAAGTTAAAGGATTGTAACATCAAAAGACTTAATGTAACTCAACCAAGACATTTTGTAACCATCAAGCTTGTGCCAAGTTCAACAGTTTAATATTGCAACAATTACGCTCTGTCAACAATAAACCTGTTCTCTTTGTGTTTTAAACTTGCCTCCTTCATTGATTTCCACGTTTGGCGCATTCCACACTACCCAAAGTTGCCTCATAACACAGATAAGGATAAACAGAGATTATTTTACCAGCATCTCTTTATATTATGGTGGCAGTTTAAGCTAGAAGTCTCAAATCTTTATTACATGTGTGTGGTGATCCTGTTTATTTGGGATTGCACGCCATTATTTCATTTTGGAGACTTCCTCACATATTTTGGTGGCAGCAAGTGAACGGCTTTGAATTTTTAGTAACAAGCGGTGGGAGACACGGCTTCGCAGTATTATTATGGTATTATTATTATTATTATTATTATTATTATTATTATGCAGTAATGATCATGACTGGAGTTACCGTAGGTTAATAGTGTCTATGGAGTAAAGAGTGTGACGAACCTGGTATGGGAAAGAGGAAAATGAAGCATAGGAAGGAGCAAATCGACACTTTAAGACCTCCTTGCCCTCCCCTGAAATGTTCTATCTGACAGCCCATTCGCTGGTTAAATTGAGCCCATTGATTTGTGTTTGTTTTGATCTGCGAAACAGCGGAGATAATTACAGTATGACTTTTTTTTTGCAGAATTTTTATAAAGAAAAGAAGAGAGAGGACATATACATTAGGTAAATCTTTACTTTTACTGTATTTTGGTGTAGATTATCATAGCATCGCGTTGGGGATGGGAAAGCTGGGGACCATTCTGCGGACCATTGCAAATAAAATAAAACAGGAAGATGGTCTTTAAAACTCACTGTAGGTTTTCTTACTCCATTGAACATACAGCTAAATTAAGTCAGAATACAGAGTAAATGTGTAATTCTTTTATCCAGGGATTTATTAAATTCTCTAGGACAGTGTTTCTCAATCTGGGGGTTGGGACCCCTCGGGGAGGTCACGAGGGGGGTATCAGAGGGGTCGCCAAAGACCATGAGAAAACACAGTATTTTTATTTATTCTGTTGGTCATGGGGCTTCTGTGTGGGAAGTTTGGCCCAATTCTATCATTGATGGGGTTCAGAATGCTCTGATTGCAGCTGAACTATAAATTCCAGCAACTACGACTCCCAAATGTCAAGGTCTGTTTTCCCCAAGCTCCACCAGTATTCACATTTGGGCATATTGAGGATTCGTATCAAGTTTGGTTCAGATCCATCACTGTTTGAGTTTATTTTATTTATATACAGTACTAGCTGTGCCCTGCCACGCGTTGCTGTGGCCTATAGTAAACCTTATCAAAGTTGAGGTAGATATCTGGACTATTATGAAAGAGAGGTACCTACCTATTCCTTCCCCCTTTTCCTCCCCCTTTCTCTCCTTTCTTCCTTCTCTACCTCTTTCTTTCTTTCCTTCTTTCACTACTTGGTTTCATCCTTCTCTCTTTCCTTCATTCCCTCCCCCTTTCTTCCTTTGCCTTTCTTCCCTCCCTGTTTGCTTCCTTCTTTCACTTTTTATTTCCTTTTATTTCACCACCATCATAACAATAACAATAATGCAATGCATTGCCTCTGGGACCTGACACCTCTCCCATTCCCCCAGGGTCTAATAGGAATAATAGCATAATAATAATAGAAATAACAACCTTTACCCGCCACGCGTTGCTGTGGCCAACCTTCCCTCTTTCTCTCCTTCTTTCCCTCCTTCCTTCCTTCCCTCCTATCTTTCCTTCTTCTCTCCTTCCTTCCTTCCCCTTTTTCTTTCTCTTCTGGTCTCTTTTCTTCCTTCTCTCTTTCCTTCTTTCCTTCCCTCCCTCTTTCTCTACATCTTCCCCCTTCCTTCACTCCCTCTTTCCTTCCTTCATTCCCTTTTTCTTTCCTTCTCTCCTTCCTTCCTTCCCCCTTTTTCTTTCTCTTCTGGTCTCTTTTCTTCCTTCTCTCTTTCCTTCTTTCCTTCCCTCCCTCTTTCTCTACATCTTCCCCTTCCTTCACTCCCTCTTTCCTTCCTTCATTCCCTTTTTTCTTTCCTTCTCTCCTTCCTTCCTTCCCCCTTTTTCTTTCTCTTCTGGTCTCTTTTCTTCCTTCTCTCTTTCCTTCTTTCCTTCCCTCCCTCTTTCTCTACATCTTCCCCCTTCCTTCACTCCCTCTTTCCTTCATTCATTCCCTTTTTTCTTCTCTCCTTCCTTCCTTCCCCCTTTTTCTTTCTCTTCTGGTCTCTTCCTTCTCTCTTTCCTTCTTTCCTTCCCTCCCTCTTTCTCTACATCTTCGCCCTTCCTTCTCCCTCTTTCCTTCCTCCCTTTTTTCTTTCCTTCTCCCCTTTTTCTTTCTCTTCTGGTCTCTTTTGTTCCTTCTCTCTTTCCTTCTTTCCTTCCCTCCCTCTTTCTCTACATCTTCCCCCTTCCTTCACTCCCTCTTTCCTTCCTTCATTCCCTTTTTTCTTTCCTTCTCTCCTTCCTTCCTTCCCCCTTTTTCTTTCCCTCCCTCTGTCTCTCATTTCTTCCTTCTCTACCTCTTCCTTCCTTCCCCCCTTTTTTTTCTCTTCTGCTGTCTCTTTCTTTCCATCTTTCCTTTTCTTTCCTTTTCTTCTTCCTTCTTTCTCTAACTTTCCTTCCTTTCCCCTTTTCTTTATCTCCCTTTCTCTTTCTTCCTTCTTTCCTTCCTTCCTGTCTTTCCTGGATTTTGACAGGGCGGGAAGGGGCAGGATGGGGTTTGGAGGTGGCGTGAAGTTAAAGGAGGTAAGATTGGGGCAGGCGAGTGATGGAGCGTGGGGTTGTGTGTGTGCGTGCGGCAGTGTGTGTGTGTGTGCGGGAAGCGGCGCGGTGGGGCTTGGAGTGGGCATGGCTTCCGCAGAGGGAACTGTGTGCGCGCGCCAGGGAACTTGCGGCTGGGCACCAATGCGCATGCTCAGTTGTTTTGCCGTTTTGTGAGTGTGTTGTTGTGTTGTTTTTCATTTTGAGTAGATATGTTTGTACCTTATGGGTTGTGTTATGGGCATGGGAATTTTGGTTAAGTTTCGTTGGGGGGTTTGTGAGTTTTGTTGATTTGCCGTTTTGTGAGTGTGTTGTTGTGTTGTTTTTCATTTTGAGTAGATATGTTTGTACCTTGTGGGTTGTGTTATGGGCATGGCAATTTTGGTTAAGTTTCGTTGGTTTTTTTTTAGTTTTGTTGTTTTGCCGTTTTGTGAGTGTGTTGTTGTGTTGTTTTTCATTTTGAGTAGATATGTTTGTACCTTGTGGGTTGTGTTATGGGCATGGGAATTTTGGTTAAGTTTCGTTGGGGGTTTTTGAGTTTTGTTGTTTTGCCGTTTTGTGAGTGTGTTGTTGTGTTGTTTTTCATTTTGAGTAGATATGTTTGTACCTTGTGGGTTGTGTTATGGGCATGGGAATTTTGGTTAAGTTTCGTTGGTTTTTTTTTAGTTTTGTTGTTTTGCCGTTTTGTGAGTGTGTTGTTGTGTTGTTTTTCGTTTTGAGTAGATATGTTTGTACCTTGTGGGTTGTGTTATGGGCATGGCAATTTTGGTTAAGTTTCGTTGGTTTTTTTTTTAGTTTTGTTGTTTTGCCGTTTTGTGAGTGTGTTGTTGTGTTGTTTTTCATTTTGAGTAGATATGTTTGTACCTTGTGGGTTGTGTTATGGGCATGGGAATTTTGGTTAAGTTTCGTTGGGTTTTTTTTTGAGTTTTGTTGTTTTGCCGTTTTGTGAGTGTGTTGTTGTGTTGTTTTTCATTTTGAGTAGATATGTTTGTACCTTGTGGGTTGTGTTATGGGCATGGCAATTTTGGTTTAGTTTCGTTGGGGTTTTTTGAGTTTTGTTGTTTTGCCGTTTTGTGAGTGTGTTGTTGTGTTGTTTTTCATTTTGAGTAGATATGTTTGTACCTTGTGGGTTGTGTTATGGGCATGGCAATTTTGGTTAAGTTTCGTTGAGTTTTTTTGAGTTTTGTTGTTTTGCCGTTTTGTGAGTGTGTTGTTGTGTTGTTTTTCATTTTGAGTAGATATGTTTGTACCTTGTGGGTTGTGTTATGGGCATGGCAATTTTGGTTAAGTTTCGTTGGGTTTTTTGAGTTTTGTTGTTTTGCCGTTTTGTGAGTGTGTTGTTGTGTTGTTTTTCATTTTGAGTAGATATGTTTGTACCTTGTGGGTTGTGTTATGGGCATGGCAATTTTGGTACAGTTTCGTTGGGGGGTTGTGGAGTTTTGCTGTCCGGTTGAACCAACCTAACAGATTTATATATATAGATTTATATTGCCTAGAGAAAGGAATGATGCTGGGGAAAGTGGAAGGCAAAAGGAAGAGGGGCCGACCAAGGACAAGATGGATGGATGGCATCCTTGAAGTGACTGGACTGACCTTGAAGGAGCTGGGGGTGGTGACGGCCGACAGGGAGCTCTGGCGTGGGCTGGTCCATGAGGTCACGAAGAGTCGGAGACGACTGAACGAATGAACAACAACAACAATTTATATTCCGCCCTTCTCACCCCGCAGGGGACTCAGGGCAGATTACAGTGTACACACATATATGGCAAACATTCAATGCCAATTTGACATACATCATATACAGACATACACAGAGACTATTTAACTTTTTTCTGGCCACCAGGGGAGCTGTCACTCTCATTGTCCATCTGCGACACTGATGAAGTACTTCCGCATTCCCCGCATGCTTCCCTGCTGGAGTGCTTTGCTGGAGTCTTCTTTATGGCCTCATAAATTAGTTAATTTAGCCTCCCCACACTTTAAGGTGGTACCTAATGTTCCTACTTGACAGATGCAACTGTCTTTCGGGTTGCAAAGGTCGACAACAGGCTACACAATTGGTTGGAAACCCACTCCAACCCGGGCTGGCTTCGAACTCATGACCTTTTGGTCAGAGTGATCTTAATGCAGCTGACACTCAGCCAGCTGCGCCACAATCCCGGTGCCATAAAAATCTCCAGCACTGGGCAAAAGAATGAGAAAGGGCTCCATCAAGGACTCAGTGCCACAAGTGGACTGTGAATCGACACTTCCTCCATTGACTGGAATTCGGATATACCCTCATAATTTTCCTACTTGACAGATGCAACTGTCTTTCGGGTTTCAAAGGTCGTCAACAGGCTACACAATTGGTTGGAAGCCCACTCCAACCCGGGCTGACAATGCTCTCCGGATGTAGGCGAACTACAACTCCAAAACTCAAGATCAGTGCCCATGAAACCCTTCCAGTATTTTCTCTTGATCATGGGTGTTCTGTGTGCTAAGTTTGGTTCGATTCCATCACTGGTGGAATTCAGAATGCTCTTTGATTGTAGGTGAACTATAAATCCCAGCAGCTACAACTCCCAAATGACAAAATCAATCCTAACACCACCAGGATTCAAATTTGGGTGTATCGGATATTTTTGCCAAATATTTCATTTTGTGAATGAAAATGCATCCTGCGTATCAGACATTTGCATTATTATTCATAACAGTAGCAAAATGACAGCTATGAAGTAGCAATGAAAATAATGTTGTGGTTGGGGGTCACCACAACACAAGGGGTTGCGGCATTAAGAAGGTTGAGAAACACTGTTTCTATGGATCCTGAAAACAGTTTAGGGGGCTACATGTACCCCAAAGGCCATATAATTTCTGGCCCCAGTGTAGACCCTTCTGTCTTTGGATGATGTCCTATTGCTGTGTTTGGGCTTTCATGAAAATCTCTGTGGTGTCCTTCTAGGTATTTGTATAAACTCCGGGACCTGCATACAGCCTCTGAAAATTTTACCGAGGCAGCATACACACTTCTTCTTCATGCAGAATTACTCCAGGTGAGAAGGTGAAATCCTCAGGAGCAGATTTACATGCAACACAGTTGTTTAAAAAGCTTAAATCAAAAAGAGGGAAAATGTTCAGGAGCCATACTTGCCTCAAATGGGGAAAATTGCTTGACACCGCCCTTGTCCCAACCTGCCTTGTCCATTCTTGGCTACTTAGATACTTGCCTCAATCTGTATCCAGAGGCAGCCCTAGGTAATTTTCAATGGTAAGCAAACAGTATTTTGCCCCCCCCCCCCCAACTAATCATTGATATATATTTTCTGTTCGTCGTGGGAGTTGTGTGTGCCATATTTGGTTCAATTCCATCATTGGTGGAGTTCAGAATGCTCTTTGATTGTAGGTGAACTATACATCCCAGTAACTACACTTGCCGCACTTGCTCCCTTGCCTGGCCCGCTTTGTGTCCGGAGGTGTGCCTGAAGACCCCGGCGTGTGCACCAAAAGTCACCTCTTCTCCTGACTTTCTCCTCAGCCATTGGGACCAAGAGAGAGAGAGAGAGAGAGGTGGAGATGCCCACCTTTCCTGAAGGTAGGCACAAAAACAAAGGAGGGAGCGGAGGTGGGAGATACCTCCAGCCGGAGGGGCTCTCTCTCTCTCTCTCTCTCTCTTGGTCCCAATGGCTGAAGAGAAAGTCAGGAGAAGAGGCGACTTTTGGTGCGCACGCTGGGGTCTTCAGACACGCCTCCGGACCCGAAGCGGGCCAGGTGCGGCGGCTCCGCCCCTTGGCCCACCCGCGGATTGGGGAGAGGAGAGGAGGCGGGTGGAGCGCCGGGGGGTCGGGAAAGGGAGCCGGTCATGGGGAAGGGATCGAACGTTTGAGAACGATTGAGCACCGGCTCTGCTCGCGCACCCGGTGGCCGGGTGGAGCAGGAACGAGAGGGGCTAGGTGAGGCTCAAGGACCTGGCCCCTTTGGGAAGAGGATCGCCGGGCAGCGAGGCAAGAAAGCCGAGGCTCCCCCCGGACTGCTAGGGCTGTTGTGAGCTGAGGGGGCGCTCCTCAAGTGGCGGTCAAGGGGGGAGGCCTTGCTCTCTATCCCGCCTGCTTCACAGGTGCGGCTGGCGGGGACGAGAGACAGGGCCTTTTCTGTGGTGGCCCCTCGGCTCTGGAACGCCCTTCCCATGGAGGTAAGATCAGCCTCCTCGCTGATGGTATTCCGAAAAAGACTAAAAACTTGGATGTTCAAGCAGGCATTTGGTTAATTCGGTGCAATGAATATGTCGACTACGGATTGGTAATATGGATGATGCAATTGGACCACGATTTTAGTTAGGAGATGTATTGGATTGTGATTTATGTGAAATATTGTGTATTATGTTTTTTACGGTTTTAATTGTATACTGTGTACTGTATATTCTGTTGTAAACCGCGTTGAGTCGCCAGTTAGGCTGAGAAACGGCGGTATACAAGGACAGTAAATAAATGAAATAATAAATAAATTTACAGAGGGGCCTCTGCGCCCCTGGCAAAAAAAAGTGTTCTGCGACCGCTTACTTCGCGTAATGGACGAGCCGCCCCTGTCTGTATCTCAGTCTTTAAGAATCCTAGAGCTGGAAAAGACCTTATGGACCATGCAATCCCCTTCCAAAAAGCAGAAAATTCACATTCAAAGCACCCCCGACAGATGGTCATCCAGCCTCAGCTTAAAAGCCTCCAAAGAAGGAGCCTCCACCACACTGCGAGGCAGAGAATTCCACTGCTGAACAGTTCTCCCAGTCTGGAAGTTCAGGTGGAATTTCAACAGAAAGGAAGAAACCATGAAAATAAACAAAATCTGCGTACCAGTATTAAAAAACTCAAAAATTACAACAGCAAAACAACAGAGAGTAAACAATCAGGCACATCAAATCACCTCTCAAAGAAAGATTTCCCCAGGCACTTCCAAGCCATTAAATGCTAATCAAGGTGGTCAGTTGAAACATTCACACCTAACTCCAGCAGACAAAAGTCCTTTGTCCCACCCTGGTCATTCCACAGATATATAAACCCATTTTCCTAGTTCCAAAAGACCTCACTACCTCTGAGGATGCTTGCCATAGATGCAGGCGAAACATCAGGAGAGAATGCCTCTAGAATATGGCCATATAGCCCGGAAAACCTACAACAACCCAGTGATTCCGGCCATGAAAACCTTCGACAATACATTCAGGTGGAATGTCCTTTTAGGTGGACCTTGGGAGCAATCCATTAAAATTACCAGATCAGCCAAGGGAGCAGTATGGAGGCAATAGAATGGACATTTGCATTAGTAGCTATAGATGGCCAGGGAGAGAAAGATACAATTTAATAATGCAAAAAAAAAAAATCAAGTAATGCAAGCAACCAAGTAGTCTACTAAAGAGAAGAATGAAGAGTAATCTTCCTTCTTGATGGTATGGTTGATTCTAATTTACAGTAAAAATTTTAGGGAAATGTATTGTCGAAGGCTTTCATGGTCAGTATCACTGGGTTGTTGTAGGTTTTTTGGGCTGTATGGCCATATTCTAGAAGCTTTGTCTCCTGCATCTGTGGCAAGCATCCTCAAAGGTTGTGAGGTTTGTTGGAAACTAGGAAAATAGGGTTTATATATCTGTGGAACGTCCAGGGTGGAAGAAAGAACTCTTGCCTGTTGGAGCTGGGTGTGAATGTTTCAATTGGCCACCTTGGTTAAACATCTGGGGAAATGTTTAACCATGATGTTTTATCACACAACTGTCTTCTTCCTTCAAGTTTTATGGAGTTTGTGAAATGATATTTCCTTTTTTCATGGGCATCTATATAAATAAAAATGTAATGTTCGTTTGTGGGATTAACATAACTCAAAAACCACTGGACGAATTGACATGCAATTTGGATACAATACACTTATCAGGCCAATGAGTGACCATCACTCATAAAAACACTGAAAAACACAACAGACAGGACATAAACAGCCAAAAAATACATTACGCGTGTGCAGAAGAGACTTAAAAAGCCAAAAAACGAAAAACCACACAAACAAATATATGTATATGCAAACACACATGTATACACATATACACAAATATATACAAACACATATACACATACATACACACAGAAAACACAGACACAGAGACTGGGCCACAGCAACACGTGGCAGGGGACAGCTACTCTATATAAATAAAAATGTAATGTTTGTTTGTGAGATGAACATAACTCAAAAACCACTGGATGAATTGACACCAAATTTGGACACAATAACCTATCAGGCCAATGAGTGACCATCACGCAAAAAAACACTGCAGAATAAAATGTCCCAGTGGGAAAAGACATGGAAGAGAAGAATGAAATACACTTCATGTCAAAACCTAAAGGAAAATGTTTATAAAATGCATTTGTGATGGTATCTCTCTCCAGAGAGACTAGCTAAGATGTACAATTGTTCCAACAAATGTTGGAAATGTGGGAAAGAAAAAGGTACATTCTACCACACATGGTGGACTTGCAGCAAAGTAAAAAATTACTGGAAACAGATCCGTGTATACCTTGGAAAAATGTTAAACACAAATCTCAAAATGACACCTCAAATGTATCTTTTGAATATGCCCGAGGAAGAATTAGAAAGAAAATTTGGAAAAACAATGTTTTACACAACAGTGGCAGCTAGAATAGTATATGCTAGATATTGTAAACCCTTATTTCTCATGCCAGTAAGGTAATGCTCAAGATCCTGCAAGGAAGACTCCAGCAATACATGGAGCGAGAGTTGCCAGATGTTCAAGCTGGGTTTAGAAAAGGCAGAGGAACGAGAGACCAGATTGCCAATATCCGCTGGATAATGGAGAAAGGCAGGGAGTTTCAGAAAAACATCTACTTCTGCTTCATTGACTATTCTAAAGCCTTTGACTGTGTGGATCATAATAAATTGTGCTGGGTTCTTGGTGGTATGGGGATACCAAGTCACCTTGTTGGTCTCCTGAGGAATCTGTATAATGGCCAAGAAGCAATGGTAAGACTGACCACGGAACAACAGACTTGTTCAAGATTGGGAAAGGCGTACGGCAAGGCTGCATCCTCTCACCCAACCTTTTTAACTTGTATGCAGAACACATCATGCGATGTGCAGGGTTTGACAAATGCAAGGATGGAGTTAAAATTGCTGGAAGAAACATTAACAACTCTAGATATGCAGATGATACCGCTTTGATGGCCGAAAGTGAGGAGGAACTGAGAATCAAGGTAAAAGAAGAAAGCGCAAACGCTGGGTTGCAGTTAAACATAAAAAACCAAGATTCTGGCAACAAGAATGATTGACAACTGGAAAATAGAGGGAGAAACCGTGGAGGCCGTTACAGACTTTGTATTTCTAGGTGCAAAGATTACTGCAGATGCAGACTGTGGCCAGGAAATCAGAAGACGCTTACTTCTTGGGAGGAGAGCAATGTCCAGTCTCGATAAAATAGTGAAGAGTAGAGACATCAGACTGGCAACAAAGATCCATTGCCTAGTCAAAGCCATGGTATTCCCTGTAGTCACCTACGGATGTGAGAGCTGGACCTTAGGGAAGGCTGAGCGAAGGAAGATCGATGCTTTTGAGCTGTGGTGTTGGAGGAAAGTTCTGAGAGTGCCTTGGACTGCGAGAAGATCCAACCAGTCCATCCTCCAGGAAATAAAGCCCGACTGCTCATTGGAGGGAAAGATACTAGAGACAAAGTTGAAGTACTTTGGCCACATCATGAGGAGACAGCAAAGCCTAGAGAAGACAATTATGCTGGGGAAAGTGGAAGGCAAAAGGAAGAGGGGCCGACCAAGGGCAAGATGGATGGATGGCATCCTTGAAGTGACTGGACTGACCTTGAAGGAGCTGGGGGTGGTGACGGCCGACAGGGAGCTCTGGCGTGGCTTGTCCATGAGGTCACGAAGAGTCGGAGACGACTGAACGAATGAACAACAACAAGATATTGGAAAACTCCAGAGATACCTCCTTTAGAAGAATGGGAAAAATATATTATAGATATGTTGATAATGGACAAAATAACTGTATTGTTAAGAGGAGAAATACTAGACAACTTCGTTAATGAATGGCAACCAATGATTCAACACCTTAATGTAAAGTTAAATTAAAAATGTATGTAGAGGATCCTATAAGACTGTAGACAAGGAAGAAGTGGATGTAAAGTAAGAATCTATGATATCTTTCAATGTATTATTTAGATAGTAGACTGTGACCCCTTAATAGAAATATATTATCAGATAAATGATTATAGAACATTAATAGATAGATAGTATTGCACTGTATGCAACAAACACTTGCAAATGTATGTTTACTTAAATAAAAATAAAAATAATTAATAAAAAACACTGCAGAAGAGACTTCAAAAGCAAAAAAAAATACATTACATGTGCAAAACCACATATATACACATATACACACACACACACACACACATATATATATATATATATATATATATATATATATATATATATATATACACACACACACACACACACACACACATACATACACACACAAAACACATATACACACCCTGGGCCACAGCTGTGTGTGGCAGGGGATGGCTAGTTTAGCAATAACCATAAAATTTTCTTTAAGATGTAGACTGCACCTAGAGCAGTGGTTCTCAACCTGTGGGTTCCCAGGTGTTTTGGCCCGCAGCTTCCAAAAATCCCAGCCAGTTTACCAACTGTTATGCTTTCTGGGAGTTGAAGGCCAAAACATCTGGTGACCCACAAGTTGAGAACCACTGCTCTAGAGCTTTCAGAAGAAAATGTGTAATGACTCCAAACCCTTGTTCTGTTTCTTCCCTTCACCCAAGTGGTCTGATAAGGCGTGCGCTCCACATCTGCTCCAGAGGGACAGCTACTATGTCTACTCACAGCTGGAGCTCAAGGAGAAGCTCTATGAAGAAATCATTGCGTTCTTCAACAAAGGCAAGGTAAGTCTGTCTGGCTCATCCTCACAGAATGATCGGAACCCTAAAGAATTTTTCGCTGAGTTCAATGTTCCTTAAAAGGGGTGGTCCATTTGCCTTCATTATTATTATTATTATTATTATTATTATTATTATTATTATTAGCATTTATATTCCGCCCTTCTCACCTTGAAAGAGACTCAGGGCGGAGCGCAACATATAAACAGTAGGCTTGGGCAATCCATGGTTCTAAATGGTTCTAAAGTACTTACAAAACTAAAGTTCTGGTGGTGAAAATTTCAGAACTCTTAACAAAACTTTCAAAATTTAATTATTATTTCATTATTGGTGATTTTAATGACAGAACCAATTAGGAACTGCCATTTATTATGAAATTTTGAGAGTTTTGTTAGAATTCTGAAATTTTCACCACCAGAACTTTAGTTTTGTAAGTACTTTAGAACCATTTAGAAGCATGGATTTCCCAAGCCTAATAAACAGCAAACATTAAATGCTGAAACATACTAGACCATTGTTGCAACTCAGGGTAGTTTTCACCTTGCTCCCAAACACCACCACACCAAAGCTGTAGATTTTGTAGTTTATTGAGAAAAGGGCAAAGTCAAAACATAGTATAGCAAATGCAAGAGTTCCATAGGCAGGACACAGGCAAAGACACAGTTCCCAAGATCCAAAGGCAAAAACATGAAGCATAATCCTTTAAGCAATGGTCAAACAAGAGTCCGTGGTAAAGATGGCCGTGACAACGTCCATGATGAGGACCGCTCCGGTCGCCCTTCTTTGATTACAGACGATTTGATTTGATCGCACACTCAAATCTTTGGTTTTTGTGGTCCTCTGTTAGGAGTTTCGGGACCCAACGGGAGCACAGTTTCCTAAACTTTACATGTTCAGAAACAATGTTGTAAAGCACTGATCTCAACATGTCAGGAAATTCGTTTATTGTGAAGCACCTGTTCTCACGAATCCTCGCTTCAACTGAAGCCACCAAATCGTCTGTAATCAAAGAAGGGCGACCAGAGCGATCCTCATCATGGACGTTGTCACGGCCATCTTTGAATTGTCGTACCCACTTACACACTTTGCTTTCACTCATGACAGTATCACCATACACTTCACAAATCTGTCGATGAATTTCTGCAGCAGGCAGGTTCCTTGTTGACAAAAACCGTATCACTGAGCGAACCTCACCTGCGGAGGGTGAGTTGAGAGTCTTCAACATTTTTAAAGCACAGAACAGAACCGTACAGGTGAGCTACAGAAAACTGTGCGGAAACTGAGCACAGTTGTTCCCGAGGCATGCCGGTACACGACGCACACGCTCGTTGCGGTATGCGCGCAAACTACTAGCGTCTACAACAAAACGGACCTTACTTTTAAAAATAACCCTCGCATTATTATTATTATTATTATTATTATTATTATTATTATTATTTGAAACACAACAAGATGAATCCACAGCAAACAAGATCACTCTGCTGGCTGTTGTATTGGATCACACCTTGGACATTTCCCAAGTCTCTAGGACTGTGTGATGTATCGGAGAATAATAATAATAATAATTATTATTATTATTAGTAGTAGTAGTAGTAGTAGTAGTATTTGAAACACAACAAGATGAATCCACAGCAAACAAGATCACTCTGCTGGCTGTTGGATTGGATCACACCTTGGACATTTCCCAAGTCTCTAGGACTGTGTGATGTATCGGAGAATAATAGTAATAATAATAATAATAATAATAATAATAATAATAATAATAATTATTATTATTATTATTATTATTTGAAACACAACAAGATGAATCCACGGCAAACAAGATCACTCTACTGGCTGTTGTAGTCAAATCATGAATCTTTAACCCTTAATCTTTTTCTCTTCTAATAAATGCCTTTTGTCCTTTTTTTGGTTGTTATTGTTGTTTTCCTGTCTCTTTGTGTTTTGAAGATGTGGGAGAAAGCCATCCAACTGAGCAAGGAACTAGCCGAGATGTATGAGAACAAAGTTTTTGATTATGAGAGGCTTGGCAATCTCTTGGTAAGGCTGCTGGATTTTCTTAGTTTTCTGAAAGATCAAGAGGGGTGTGATGAAGGAGTAAAGAGCCTCTTGCCTGGAGATGATAGTCCCAAATTAGAAGCAAAAGATGGTGCAAATAGGAAAACTATAGTGGAACAACTAAAATGTCAGAGGAAGAGGTTGCTAGATCAACAGACACAGGACTCCAAAAATCAGGACTCTGCAGTCTTACAGTTGCAAAATAACACAAAGTTTACTAAGTACATCTACACACGTCCATTCTTAGCAGGCTATAATCGGGAACACCAAAGCACAGCATAAACAGTTTCAGAACATCTGCTTATCAGACCTCTGGCTGTAACCGGATCCTCCCTCTACTTCCCACAGCCAGAGAACATGTTATCTCTTTTCTGTCAAGGTTACATTTTTTCTGCTTCTCACAGTATTTCTAATACACAATTGAACATAATAGAATCCATCTTGAAACACATCTTAATCCATCTTGAATTACATAGAAAACACATTGAAAAACACACATGCATACCTCAATAATCCTGACATACCTCAATAATCCTGTATGTGTGTGAATATTTCATGGCATGGGAATCAACCGATACACACAGACACACACACACATTTGAGTGTTTGGATCCCTGTTCTGTGAGCTGTTTTGTTATAGAGAGGGTGATCAGTAAATAAAAGAACTGGTGCAGCCAACCAATTCTAGAGGAATTATTTATGGAACCAAAACATTGATCTCTAGAGATAAGAGATGCTCCTGGCTTCTTACCGTGATTGTTGCTGGGTTTTAACTCCATTTAGTTGCAGTCAATATTACAAATGGTGACGGATTATGGCAGAAGGTGTTTATAACTGACCGCCTCTCGACCTATGAGCCCACGAGGATTTTGAGATCTTCCGGGGAGGCCCTGCTCTCGATCCCGCCTGCGTCACAGGCACGGCTGGTGGGGACGAGAGATAGGGCCTTCTCGGTGGTGGCTCCTCGGCTGTGGAACACCCTTCCCGCAGACATCAGGCTAGCCCCCTCCCTGTTGATATTCCGCAGGAAGCTAAAGACCTGGTTGTTTGAGAAGGCATTTGAATAGTAGTGCAATGACGGGTAACTCAACCACAGGAATGGAACAACGGAAATGGTTTTGGATTGTGAACTTGACGATGAGACAACTCGGAATGGCTTGTAGTTATATTATGTTTTTGATGTGATGTTTTGATAATGATGTACTATGGATTATTTTTTGTATGTTGTATTTTGCACCTGTTTTTATGTTGTACACCGCAATGAGTCGCCATTAGGCTGAGAATCGCGGTATATAAGCGAAGTAAATAAATAATAAATAAATATAACATCTGGTGGGTCATATACTAAAGGCAAAATGTCCCTAAGACCAAAAGTAAAACAATTATATAATTGCAATAATGTATATTATGTTTTTGCTAAATTGCTACAACATTCAATATATAGGCATCTAGTACAAATTATACTACATACAATTCTCTAAACCAAAAATTATTTTTTCCTATGTGGTATAAACAACAAATTCTTACAGCAAAATATACAGCTGTTTTAAGATTCTTAATGTAGGTACACCGCTGATTCCTACAGTTGAATATATCCGTTAGTAAACCATATTTTGCTAAAGTTTGTCCACAGCAGCACACAGTTTATCAGTCATTTTTCAAAATCCACAGTTTGTCAACCACAACCAGTTTCGACTATATGCAGTCTTCTTCAGGTGGTAGTAGAAATCCAAAATAGTAAGTTTTGTAAAGTGGACAATTCTTCAAGTAAAGTCAATATATGAAGGTAAACAATATAACAGCTGTATATTTTGCTGTAAGAATTTGTTGTTTATACCACATAGGTAAAAATTATTTTTGGTTTAGAGAATTGTATGTAGTATAATTTGTACTAGATGCCTATATATTGAATGTTGTAGCAATTTAGCAAAGACATAATATACATTATTGCAATTATATAATTGTTTTACTTTTGGTCTTAGGGACCTTTTGCCTTTTGCATTTCAGGGAACCCTTGCTCTCTATATTTTGGGTCATATACTATATGACCCAAATGTCCAACATGATATAGGAGTGTATGGTCCTTCTCACATCTGTTTTAGAAATCCAATATGCAGATGATAACGTAGTCTGTGCACATTCAGAAGAAGACCTACAAGCTAAACAACTTTGCAGAGCATACAAGAAGCTCGGCCTGTCATTGAACATGAAGAAATCCAAAGTGCTGTTCCAGCAGTCACCAGCCAATCCCTCTCCAGTGCAAGAAATACAGCTTAATGGTGCAGTGTTGGAATATGTGGACCTTGGCAGCCATCTCTCCACAAAAGTCAACATCGACACTGAAATAGAACACCACCTGAGCTCTGTGAGTGCAGCATTTTTCTGAATGAAGCAGAAAGTGTTTGAGGATCAGGACATCCGTAGAGAGACCAAGGTTCTTGTTTATAAAGCCATTGTCCTCCCAACCCTGCTATATGCCTGCGAGACATGGACTGTCTACAGACATCAACATTGAGACTGAATTACAACACCACCTGAACTCTGTGAGTACAGCATTTTTCCGAATGAAGCAGAGAGTGTTTGAGAACCAGGACATCCGTAGGGATACCAAGGTGCTAGTTTATAAAGCTATTGTCTTCCCAACCCTGCTATACGCCTGCGAAACGTGGACTGTCTACAGACATCAACATTGAGACTGAATTACAACACCACCTGAACTCTGTGAGTACAGCATTTTTTCGAATGAAGCAGAGAGTGTTTGAGAACCAGGGCATCCGTAGGGATACCAAGGTGCTAGTTTATAAATCTATTGTCTTCCCATCCCTGCTATACGCCTGCGAAACATGGACTGTCTACAGATGTCACATGCAACTCCTGGAATGATTCCATCATCATTGCCTTCGAAAAATCCTACAAACCTCTTGGGAAGATAGGCAGAAAAATGTCAACATGCTGGAAGAAGCAAAGACCACTAACACTGAAGTGATACTCCTACGCCATCAACTCTGCTGGACCAGCCACGTTGTCCAGATGCCCGATTATCGTCTCCCAAAGCAGTTACCCTACTCCAAACTGAAGAACAGACAAAGTAATGTTGGTGGACAGGAAAAGAGGTTTAAAGATGGGCTTAAAATTAACCTTAAAAACTGTGGCATAGATACCGAGAACTGGAAAACCCTGGCCCTTGAGTGCTCCAAGTGGAAGTCAGCTGTGATGAGCAGTGCTGTGGAATTTGAAACAGCATGAATGGGGGGTGAAAGGGAGAAACGTGCCAAGAGGAAAGCATGTCAAGCCAACCCCGATTGGGACCTCCTTCCACCTGGAAACCGATGTCCTCACTGTGGAAGAACATGTGGGCCAAGTATAGGGTTCTACAGTCACCTACGTATACTTGGAAGGCCATCATACTCGAACAATGAGAGATCACCTAAGAATAAGAAGTTCCTTTTTACTGGCTGCATTTTAACAGTGCAATAAATCTTGGTTAATCTAGGGAGAGCAAGATTTTTATCAGATAGAAGTAAGATATAAGTATATGTTAACCATATCTTTTCTTTTCTTTACACAGAAAAAGCGAGCCACATTCTATGAGAACATCATGAAGGCCATGCGACCTCAACCAGAGTATTTTGCCGTTGGGTATTTTGGACAAGGATTCCCCTCTTTCCTCCGTGTAAGAAGGATACATAGAAAATCTCTATTACCAGCATTAATGTTTACGAGGGTTGAATGAAAAGTAATGCCTCCACCTTCGTAACTCCTCAACACATGGCAGTACTGGTATGCGGCAGGTACTGGCTTGTTCAGTAGACTCTCCTCTACAGTTCCATTTTGGCGGGAAGCCTTCGCATTGAACGGTTGTGTCGTTAAAGTGCAAAGTATGGAACCTTGAGCAGATGGTCGGTCAATGCAACTTAAGCAACGTGCAGTCATTGAATTATTGACGGCAGAAGGTGTCACCTCAACATCTTTAAACTTACTCGCCCAACGATGCACAATACTCACATCAACACAATCACCATAAACAGCTTGCATTCTCTGATGAATCTCATTGGGGTGACACCTTCTGCTGTCAAGAATTCAATGACTGAATCCAATAAGAATTCAATAAAAAATCTTTATATACCTTATAACAGCAGCCAGGATAAAATTTGCACAACTATGGAAAACAAACAAAATACCAAGTACAGATAACTGGCTATTGAAGATCTGGGGCATAATGAACATGGACTTACTCACACAAAGAATAGCGGAAACTAAAGACACAAAAAACAAATTGGGAAAAAATTATGGATTATATTATGATCGAAAACCCCAAAATAAACGGGCAATAGGAAGAAAACCTAAGGCAAAACAAGAGACAATGCAATCAGAGTCAACCTGGAAGCCATCTTAATCTCCTCATGTATTTTACTTCCCCCACCCTCGTCTTTCTCTCTCTTTTTACTTTCTTTTTTGTACTGTTTCTTCTTTTTCCTTTTTATCTTCCCTATCTTTCCATTTCCTACTGTCTCAAAACAAATTCTTCCCACACTTTCACTGTATCTATTGGAGCTTTAATTTTATGTGCATTGAAAAAAATCAAAAATAATAATAATAATAATAATAATAATAATAATAATAATATTCAATGACTGCATGTTGCATAAGTCACATTGACTGACCGTGTGCGCAGGGTTCCATACTTTGCACTTTAACAATACAACCGTTCAATGCTAAGGCTTCCCACCAACATGGAACCGTAAAGGAGAGTCTACTGAACAAGCCAGTACTTGCTGCATACCAGTACTGCCACAACCATTCAATGCTAAGGCTTCCTGCCAACATGGAACTGTAGAGGAGAGTCTACTGAACAAGCCAGTACCTGCTGCATACCAGTACTGCCACAACCGTTCAATGCTAAGGTTTCCTGCCAACATGAAACTGTAGAGGAGAGTCTACTGAACAAGCCAGTACCTGCTGCATACCAGTACTGCCATCTGTTGAGGAGTTACGAAGGTGGAGGCATTACTTTTCATTCAACCCTTGTACAATTATCACCTGCTATTGTTCTGAATCTTCACAGTACTGCTAGATCTTGAATTTGGTTATTTGTGACCAGATCGGTGGAGCGTTCTTTTTTCTCTGTTGAATGGCATGATCTTTCACCCAATGCAGGAAATACGCCATCGTTTATTTCTTCCTTTTTGCCTTCCTTTTGGCAGAACAAGATCTTCATCTACCGTGGGAAGGAATATGAAAGGAGGGAAGATTTCAATCTGAAGCTACTAACCCAGTTCCCAAATGCCGAGAAGCTGAGCAGTACCGCTCCACCAACAGAAGAAATCAAAGCCTCACTTAAGCAGTGTATCTTTTCAAGGGGGTTTATTTATTTATCGTGTCAGGAGCAAACCAAACAGTTGTATTGTATTTAAAAAAAACAAAACACAAAGTTTGCAAACTTGGCATTCTATTAAATGTCCTTTGACCAGTATCTGGCCACTTGGAGTGCCTCTGGTGTTGCCACAAGAAGGTCCTCCCTTGTGCACGTGGCAGGGCTCAGGTTGCATTGCAGCAGGTGGTCAGTGGTTTGCTCTTCTCCGCACTCGCATGTTGAGGATTCCACTTTGTGGCCTCATTTCTTGAGGTTGGCTCTGCATCTCGTGGTGCCAGAACGCAGTCTGTTCAGCGCCTTCCAAGTCGCCCAGTCCTCTGTGTGCCCAGGGGGCAGTCTCTCATTTGGTCTCAGCCATTGATTGAGGTTCTGGGTTTGAGCCTGCCACTTTTGGACTCTTGCTTGCTGAGGCATTCCAGTGAGTGTCTCTGTAGATCTTAGAAAACAATTTCTAGATTTAATTCATTAGCATGCTGGCTGATATCCAAACTAGGGATGGGCCAGAGATGTCACTGCCTTGGTCCTTTCACTATTGGTTGCTACTTCCCAGCAGATGTAAACATTGTAATTTCTTCAGTAGTGATTAGAGGGTTAGGGGGGATGTAATGGATGGTGAAGGTAGATTATTATTATTATTATTTATTATTATTAAACTTTATTTGTACCCCGCTAGCATCTCCCGAAGGACTCGATGCAGCTTACAAAGGCCAAGGCCTCAACACAACAACAGCAAAACAATAACAATACAATTCAAAGCAAATTAAAAACATAAGCAATAACAAAACATTACACCATTACAGTTGTATAAGAGTTACTTTTAAGGCCCATGGGATAGGAAATCTTTTGGGAACAGCAAAAGAAGATTATGAGAGAGGAGCATTTAGAACACATTTTTAATTAATTGTTCCAGGCACTTTCTCTGTGCTCTGAGAAACCCAGTGGTGCAGCGGGTTAAACCGCTGAGCTGCTGAACTTGCTGACCAAAAGGTTGGTGGTTCAAATCCTGGGAGCAGGATAGGAAATCTTCCATGAACAACAAAAGAAGATTATGAGAGAGGAACACTTAGAACACATTTTAAATTAATTATTCTAGGCATTTTCTCTCTGCTCCAAGAAACATGGTGGCACAGCGGGTTAAACTGCTGAGCTGCTGAACTTGCTGACTGATTCGAATCCGGGGAGCGGGGTGAGCTCCTGCTGTTAGCCCCAGCTTCTGCCAACATAGCAGTTTGAAAACATGCAAATGTGAGTAGATAAATAGGTACCGCTCAGGTGGGAAGGTAACAGCGTTCCATGCAATTATGCTGGACACATGACCTTGGAGGCGTCTATGGACAATGCCAGCTCTTTGGCTTAGAAATTGAGATGAGCACTACCCACCAGAGTAGACTTAATGTCAAGGGGAAACCTTTACAATATGTATTTTGTTGTGTTTAATTTTCTATTATTTTGTATATTATTTTTGTTGTATTACTTTTGGGCTCAGCCTCATGTTAGCCGCCATTTTTGGACTATCTCCCATTGGGGAGATAGTGGCGGGGAATAAATAAAGATTATTATTATTATTATTATTATTATTATTATTAATACTATTATTATTTACTTTTCCTTCTTTACCTTGATATACGAGTTTAATTTGTAACTCGAAAAGCTCGTAACTTGGGACGCTTGTAAGTCGAGGTTCCACTGTTTAGTTTTCTCAATGCAGTTTATCTCCCAGAATCATAAAATCCAATAGCAAATACAGTTTTTTTAATTAGCTTTAATTAGCAAAATTTTTAAAATTAGCTTTCACAATGAAAACAAAACTAGAACTAGTGCCGGCTGAAGTAGTCAACTCCAGTCATTTGTGGTTTTGACTTTTCCGGATTTGATCATTCATGGCTTTGGATGAAATGTTCTGTCTAGGTTCTTCCATGTAACTGTAAAGTCAACTTCCTTCAGGTCCTCCAGCGATTCTGGAGATGTCCAGAGAGAACACCTTTTTGGGGCTACCTTTGTGTAATTGTATGGTCAGCTGAGGTCAACCACATAGTTAGAGTCTGAGTGTCATAGTCCAAAATACGTGCTAGAAACAATATCATACGAAAGCTGACTGGCACAACCTCGGGATCACAACCAGATACAGTGAAGACATCTGCCCTTGCGCTGTCCTACTCTGCTGCTGAGTACGCATGCCCAGTGTGGAACACATCTCACCACACTAAAACAGTGGATGTGGCTCTGAATGAGACATGCCGCATTATCACGGGGTGTCTGCGCCCTACACCACTGGAGAAATTACACTGCTTAGCCGGTATTGCACCACCTGACATCCGCCGGGAAGTAGCAGCCAATAGTGAAAGGACCAAGGCAGAGACATCTCCAGCTCATCCCTTGTTTGGGTATCAGCCAGCACGTCAATGACTTAAATCTAGAAATAGTTTTCTAAGATCTACAGAGACACTCGCTGGAACACCTCAGCAAGCGAGAGTCCAAAAGTGGCAGGCTCATACCCAGAGCCTCAATCAATGGCTGATACCAAATGAGAGACTCTCCCCTGGGCACACAGAAGACGGGGCGACTTGGAAGGTGCTGAACAGACTGCGCTCTGGCACCACGAGATGCAGAGCCAACCTCAAGAAATGGGGCTACAAAGTGGAATCCACGACATGCGAGTGTGGAGAGGAGCAAACCACTGACCACCTGCTGCAATGCACCCTGAGCCCTGCCACATGCACTATGGAGGACCTCCTTGCGGCAACACCAGAAGCACTCCAAGTGGCCAGATACTGGTCAAAGGACATTTAATCAACTACCAAACTCAAAAATTTTGTATTTTGTCTGTTTGTTTGTTTTGTTCTGTTAGAAATGTAATATAATTTGACTGGTTGTCCTGACACGACAAACAAACAGTCCAAAATAAGTCATTTTCCCCAACTTTTGGAGAAGTCACAAAATTTCCTTCAATTGTCTTATTCAATTGAGAAAATCCATTTCGATTGATCTGTCCTTTCCACCCACTTCTTCTTCTTTAGTTTCCTTAACGCATGTCATACAGACGTACAGTGCTTCATCGTTAAACCTGTAATGACCCTCCCACCAAACCTCAAGGACAAGCCTGTTCCAGAGCAGATTCTCAAGTAAAATATACACACTCAATTTACTATCAGCTGTTTTTGTTTACATCTAGAAACAAAGTGCAAAATTATCAAACACTTCACGCTTATTTATTTATCATGTCAAAAGGGCTGGGCTTTATCACAGCTGGTTAATCACAAGCAGCAATAGATCCTTCCCAGCTAAAAGGCTGGCATTTTGGAGCCCGGGTTGGGGTAAGCATCCAACCTTCAGCCTAGCTTACTATCCACCTAAGTCAGGGGTCCTCAAACTTTTTAAACAGAGGGCCAGGTTGCAGTCCCTCAAATTGTTGGAGGGCCGGATTATAATTTTTAAAAAACCATGAATGAATTCCTATGCTTTACTTACTTACTTAGGCGATCCCTCGTTGGACGAGTAAGATGGTCCTCCTTGATGACTATTTTTGTGGGTTTGTAGGTGGCTGTGGAGCCCTCTTCTTGACCCGCATCTTCTCCCACAGTGAAGGCATTGGTTTCCAGGTGGAAGGTGGTCCCGGTCGAGGTTGGCTTGACGCGCCTTCCTCCTGGCACGTTTCTCTCTTTCGCCCTCCACTCGAGCCTCCTCGAATTCTGCAGCACTGCTGGTCACAGCTGACCTCCAGCTGGAGCAGTCAAGGGCCAGGGCTTCCCAGTTCTCAGTGTCTATGTCAGAGTTTTTAAGGCTGGCTTTGAGCCCATCTTTCAATCTCTTTTCCTGTCCTCCAACATTCCGTTTTCTGTTCTTAAGTTCAGAGTAGAGCAACTGCTTTGGGAGATGGTGGTCAGGCATCAGGACAACGTGGCCGGTCCAGGGGAGTTGATGGCGGAGGACCATCGCTTCAATGCTGGTGGTCTTTGCTTCTTCCAGCACGCTGACGTTTGTCCACTTGTCTTCCCAAGAGATTTGCAGGATTTTCCAGAGGCATCGCTGATGGAATCGTTCCAGGAGTTGCATGTGACGTCTGTAGACAATCCACGTCTCGCAGGCATATAGCAGGGTTGGGAGGACAATAGCTTTATAGACAAGAACCTTGGTATCTCTATGGATGTCAAACACTCTCTGCTTCATTCGGGAAAATGCTGCACTCGCAGAGCTCAGGCAGTGTTGTATTTTGGTGTCGATGTTGACTTTGGTGGAGAGGTGGCTGCCAAGGTAGCGGAAATGGTCAACATTTTCTAATGTGACACCATTAAGTTGTATCTCTATGCACACTGCACATATCTTATTTGTAGTGCAAAAAACACTCAAAAACAATACAATAATTAACACAAAGAACAATTTTAACAAATATAAACTTATTAGTATTTCAATGGGAAGGGTGGGCCTGCTTTTGGCTGATGAGATAGGATTGTTGTTGTTGTTGTGTGCTTTCAAGTTGTTTCAGGTTGACCCTCAGCAAGGGCCGGGTAAATGACCTTGGAGGGCTGTATCCGACCCCTAGGCCTTAGTCTGAGGATCGCCTAAGTAATCTTACTTAGGGATCGCCTAAGTAAGTAAAGTAAGTAAATAATTTAATGTGGCTTGTAGATCTTCTTCTGAATGTGCACAGATGACAGTATCATCAGCATATTGGAGTTCTATAACAGATGTTGTTGTAACCTTGGTTTTGGCTTTCAGTCTGCAGAGGTTAAACAGCTTGCCATCTGTCCGATAGATGATTTCCACTCCGGTTGTGAAGGTCTTAATACTTGATTGAGGGGAATAGGTTTCCATTTAGCTCTGTGGGTGAGGATTTTGCAAGGCAACTAATGATGACATACATGATTATTTTCCCCCTGTTTGCTCTTTCAGCTTCTATAGGGCCAATGAAGTGCAACAATTCCAATATTCCCGCCCCTTCAGGAAAGGAGAAAAAGATCCAGAGAATGAATTTGCAGTGAGTCGTTCATGGTTGGAACCAAGCCAGCAGAGGCAATAATATGAACCTTGGGTTTGGGTTGGTTACGTGAGATTGGGGATGAAATCAAAATGCTTACTAACTAGAGATGAAGACAGATTTTCACATGTAACATGACTAGAGATGGGAAGACCTGGGGGGAAAATGGAAAATTGGAGGAAAACCAGTTATTTTCCACACACAACCCAATTTTTCCATTTTATCCCTGTTTTTCCCCAATTTTTCCAGTTTTTTTCAAGCCTTCCCATCTCTAACCACGACTAACTTTTGGAAAATGGCATTTGTAACCTTTTGGAAATCATAACTTTTAGAAAAGCATGATCTTTCAGATAAGAGCCAAAAAAAACCCTTTAGAATCTTCTCTTGTGGTATATTACCAGATATAATTATGCAAAGCAATGGTTTCAGTTGTTAGACTGAATAACCTGTTATCTCTGATCTGTTAGGAAAACAGAGATTTGGCTGTGCATAAAAGCAGCAAAGCTTTAGAAGTGTTTTTCAGTGCCCCAAAATATATACTATCCCATAAAACAACTTATATAAATGCTCTCAAGAGACAAAAATGTTGTAGACTTGGATACAAATAACATACCGTATATACTCGAGTATAAGCCAACCCGAATATAAGCCGAGGGACCTAATTTTACCACAAAAAACTGGAAAAACATATTGATTCAAGTATAAGCCGAGGGTGAGAAATGTAGCTGCTACACAAAACTGTAATTTAAGATAAGACTGACCAATTCTGATTCAACCATTATTCTAACCTCTTTCAATGTAAATGTGCTTACCTATTACCTCTAATAATAGAGTAAAATAATAAATGTAATAACATGTAATAAAAATAATAATAGAGTAAATAATGGACATTTAATAATAGTAATGATAATAAAGTAATAAATGTAATAATAACAATAATAGAGTAAAATAATAAATGTAATAACATGTAATAAAAATAATAATAGAGTAAATAATGGACATTTAATAATAGTAATGATAATAAAGTAATAAATGTAATAATTACAATAATAGAGTAAAATAATAAATGTAATAACATGTAATAAAAATAATAATAGAGTAAATGAAAATTTAATAATAGTAATAATAATAATAATAATAAAGTAATAAATGTAATAATAACAATAATAGAGTAAAATAATAAATGTAATAACGTAATAAAATAATAACAGAGTAAATAATGGAAATTTAATAATAATAGTAATAATAATAAAGTAATACATGTAATAATAACAATAATAGATTAAAATAATAAATAATAGATTAAAATAATAGATTAAAATAATAAATAATAATAGATTAAAATAATAAAATAATAAATGTAATAAAAATAATAATAGAGTAAATAATGGAAATTTAATAATAACAGTAATAATAATAATAAAGTAATAAATGTAATAAAAACAATAATAGAGTAAAATGTAATAACATGTAATAAAAATAAGAATAGAGTAAATGAAAATTTAATAATAGTAATAATAATAATAAAGTAATAAATGTAATAATAACAATAATAGAGTAAAATAATAAATGTAATAACGTAATAAAATAATAACAGAGTAAATAATGGAAATTTAATAATAARAGTAATAATAATAAAGTAATACATGTAATAATAACAATAATAGATTAAAATAATAAATGTAATAATATGTAATAAAAATAATAATAGAGTAAATAATGGAAATTTAATAATAACAGTAATAATAGTAAAGTAATAAATGTAATAAAAACAATAATAGAGTAAAATGTAATAACATGTAATAAAAATAATAATAGAGTGAATAATAAAAATTTAATAATAGTAATAATAATAAAGTAATAAATGTAATAATAACAATAATAGAGTAAAATAATAAATGTAATAACATGTAATAGAAATAAGAATAGAGTAAATAATGGAAATTTAATAATAATAGTAATAATAATAAAGTAATAAATGCAATAAAAACAATAATAGAGTAAAATGTAATAACATGTAATAAAAATAAGAATAGAGTAAATGAAAATTTAATAATAGTAATAATAATAATAATAAAGTAATAAATGTAATAATAACAATAATAGAGTAAAATAATAAATGTAATAACGTAATAAAATAATAACAGAGTAAATAATGGAAATTTAATAATAATAGTAATAATAATAAAGTAATACATGTAATAATAACAATAATAGATTAAAATAATAAATGTAATAATATGTAATAAAAATAATAATAGAGTAAATAATGGAAATTTAATAACAGTAATAATAGTAAAGTAATAAATGTAATAAAAACAATAATAGAGTAAAACATGTAATAAAAATAAGAATAGAGTAAATAATGGAAATTTAATAATAATAGTAATAATAATAAAGTAATAAATGTAATAAAAACAATAATAGAGTAAAATAATAAATGTAATAACGTAATAAAAATAATAATAGAGTAAATAATGGAAATTTAATAATAATAATAATAATAATAATAAAGTAATAAATGTAATAATAACAATAATAGAATAAAATGTAATAACATGTAATAAAAATAATAATAGAGTAAAATAATGTAAATGTACTAATAATAATAGAGTAAAATAATAAATGTAATAAAATGATACTAATAGCAGAGTAAAACAATAAATAATCTTGACTTGAGTATAAGTTGAGGGGATTTTTTTCAGCCTAAAAAAGGGGCTGAAAAACTAGGCTTATACTCGAGTATAAATAGTATTTGGTTTACTCACAACCTTCATGTGTTCAGCATACACAGATACAAAAATGTATTAGTCCAGTTTCAGATATGTTTGAGATAATTCTCTGTGCCATTCGGCCAGGACATCTCTTACGAGCGAAACAGCAAGCAAGAGCATGACTTGAGGTCTGAAGTAGTCTGTAGTCAGAAGTTGTCTGTCTGTCTGAAGTGATCATGTGGTCTGCAGCCCCTTTTATAACTTCTCAGGAACCACAGAGTAAAGGAAGCTGCATACCAGAACATACATACGGGAAACAATAAGGAACAGGATCCTAGATCAACATTACTAGAGAAGGCTTGAAGAAGGTTGTCATAACAGTTGCAACTATCTCAATAACCTCTCTCTTTCTATCTCTCAACTTCGATTTAGACAATGTGGATCGAGAGGACCACGTACACAACTGCCTATTCATTCCCAGGAATTCTCAAATGGTTTGAGGTGAAACAAGTTTCAGTGGTGAGTTTCTAAGTCAGTGTTTCTGAACCTGGGGGTCGGGTGGGTCGTGAGCGGGTGCCACAGGAGTCACCCAAGACCATAAGAAAATAGTATTTTCTGTTGGTCATGGCGGTTCTGTGTGGGGAGTTTGGCCCAAGTCTGTCATTGGTGGGGTTCACAATATAAGGATCGTACCACTTCGCAAGAGAGTTGTATACAAATGGGTTATGAATGAATTTTTGTGCAATGATATGGCTCTGGAAATTTGGAGGTTTAGGAAAACTGCTGAGGAATTAGTTAGGGCTTCCCATTTTCCTGTATCCGTATTTCTCAGGAGGAAATCAGCCCTTTGGAGAATGCCATCGAAACCATGGAGTTGACCAACGAGAAGATCAGCAACTGTGTGCAGCAGCACGCCTGGGATCGGAGCCTGCCCGTGCACCCGCTTTCCATGCTGTTGAATGGCATTGTAGATCCAGCTGTTATGGGAGGATACAACAACTATGAGAAGGTTAGTCATTTCCTTGGAGTTGGTGATAAATCCAAGAGCTGATTTTAAGAAAGGGAAAACTGAGAGAGAAAACGGGATTGTACCTACCTGCCTTAGATGGCTTCATTTCCAATCTTCCCTTTTTGGTCAAAGTCCTAGAATGTGTGGTGGCCTCGCAACTCCAGGGGAACTCAGAAGACATTGACTATCTAGATCAGTGTTTCTCAACCTGGGGGTTGGGACCCCTAGGGAGGGGTCGCAAGGAGGGGGGGCGGTGTCAGATCATCAGAAAACACAGTGTTTTCTGTTGTTTGTGGGTATTCTGTGTGTGAAGTTTGGCCCAATTCTATCGTTGGTGGGGTTCAAAGTGCTCTTTGATTGTAGGTGAACTATAAATCCCAGCAACTACAACTCCCAAATGTCAAGGTCTATTTTCCCCAAAATCCACCAGTGTCCACATTTGGGCATATTGAGTATTCATGCTAAGTTTGGCCCATCAGATCCATCATTGTTTGAGTCCACAGTGCTCTCTGGATGTAGGTGAACTACAACTCCCAAACTCAAGGTCAATGCCCACCAAACTCTTCCAGTATCTTCTGTTGGTCATGGGAGTTCTGTGTGAAAAGTTTGATTCAATTCCATCGTTGGTGGAGTTCAGAATGATCTTTGATTGTAGGTGAACTATAAATCCCAGGAACTACAACTCCCAAATGTCAAGACCTATTTCCCCCAAACTCCACCAGTGTTCACATTTGGGCATATTGAGTATTCATGCCAAGTTTGGTCCACTGTGCTCTCTGGATGTAGGTGAACTACAACTCCCAAACTCAAGATCAATGCCTACCAAACCCTTCCAGTATCTTTTGTTGGTCCAGTGTCTTCTGTTGGTCATGCCAAGTTTGGTCCATCAGATCCATCACTGTTTGAGTCCACAGTGCTCTCTGGATGTAGGTGAACTACAACTTCTGTATGAAAAGTTTGATTCAATTCCTTCGTTGGTGGAGTTCAGAATGATCTTTGATTGTAAGTGGACCATAAATCCCAGGAATTACAACTTCCAAATGACAAAATCAATCCCTCCCCAACCCCACCAGTATTCAAATTTGGGCGTGTCGGGTATTTGTGCCAAATTTGGTCCAGTGAATGAAAATACATCCTGCATATCAGATAATTTACAATACAATTCATAACAATAGCAAAATTACAGTTATGAAGTAGCAATAAAAATAATGTTATGGTTGGGGGGCACCATAACATGAGAAAGTGTATTAAGGGGTCGTGGCATTAGGAAGGTTGAGAACCACTGATCTAGATCCAGCGCAGTCTGGCTTTAGGCCGGGACATGGTACCGAGACAGCCTTGGTCATCTTAGTGGATGGTCTTCGCTGGGAGCAAGACAGGAGGAGTGTGTCCCTGTTGGTTCTGCTGGACCTCTCATTGGTCTTTGATACTGTTGACGTCTTATGGAAATGGACCTTGGAGGCACTGTTCTTCACTGGCTCCAGTCCTTTCTGGCAGGCCGTTCCCAGATGGTGCTGGTAGGGGACACCTGCTCGATCCCATGGCCTTTGTACTGTGGGGTCAGTATTGATTGTTCCTTCTGTTTCCTCTCTCCAGGCCTTTTTCACAGATAAATATATTCAAGAACACCCCGAAGATCAAGAAAAGATCGAACAGCTCAAGCAACTCATTGCTCTACAGGTATCAGTTCCAAGGAGATGGTGTGGGTGGCGAACACTGCAGTGCAACAACATCCACATGAAGCCGCTGGGAGAGATCACCCGGATTTTTGGAGTTTGATGCCATCTGTATGCAGATGACACTCAACTCTATTACTCCTTTCCACCTGCTGCTAAGGAGGATGTTCAGGTCCTGAACCAGTGCTTGGCAGTTGTGACAGTCTGGATGAGAGCAAACAAATTGTAACTGAATCCAGACAAGACAGAGATCCTCCTGGTCAGTTGCAATGCCAAACAGGGTATAGGGTTACAGCCTTTTTTTGGATGGGGTTACACTCCCTCTGAAGACGCAGGTTTGCAGCTTGGGAGTTATCTTGGACTCATTGCTGATCTAGGTAACCCAAATTTCGGAGGTGGCCAGGGGAGTTTTTGCACAATTAAAACTTGTGTGCCAGTTGCACCCATACCTTGGGAAGTCAGACTTGATCTTACACGTTTGTTCCACCTTCTTGGTGTCAAAGAGTAGTCTAGCTGTACGTGGCAGTTGGCCTTTCCGTGTCTGTCCTTTCTCATTACGTTTGTTTCTCTTCCAGATGCCTTTGTTGGCTGAAGGGATCCGGATTCATGGGAAGAGATTGACAGAACAACTGAAGCCTCTTCACGACCGCCTGACCTCTTGTTTCAAGGAGCTGAGGGAAAAAGTGGAGAAGCTCTACGGCGTGGTAACCCTAGTAAGGATCACTGCATACTGCATACTACGGATATTTATTTGGGAGGAGGAACCCCTCTCTATCTGAAGAGAGATGGAAAATACTCATAGGTAGACTGACCTCCCTAGGGACAGGGTATTTATTTATTTATTTATTGTGTCAGGAGCAACCAGACATTTGTATTACATTTTTAACAAAACAAACAAGCAAACAGACAAAACACAAAGTTTGCAATCTTGGTAGTTGATTAAATGTCCTTTGACCAGTATCTGGCCCCTTGGAGTGCCTCTGGTGTTGCCGCAAAGAGGTCCTCCATTGTGCATGTGGCAGGGCTCAGGGTGCATTGCAGCAGGTGGTCAGTGGTTTGCTCTTCTCCGCCAAGTTTGGTTCAGTTCCGTCATTGGTGGAGTTCAGAATGTTCTTTGATTGTAGGTGAAGTATACAGTGTTCCCTTGCTACTTTGCGGTTTGCTTTTCGCGGACTCGCTGTTTCGCAGGTTTTTGCCTCCTGGGAGAGAGGCTGTTGTGACTCAGCTGGAACCACAGAGTGATAGTGTTAATGGTTCTGATTTATTTATTTATCGTGTCAGGAGCTAACCAAAACAGTTGTATTGCATTAAAAAACAGACAAACAAACAAAACACAAAGTTTGCAGACTTGGTATTCTATTAAATGTTGTTTGACAAGTATTTGGCCACTTGGAGTGCCTCTGGTGTTGCTGCAAGAAGGTCCTCCATTGTGCATGTGGCAGGGCTCAGGTTGCATTGCAGCAGGTGGTCAGTGGTTTGCTCTTCTCCACACTCACATGTCGAGGATTCCACTTGTGGCCCCATTTCTTGAGGTTGGCTCTGCATCTCGTGGTGCCAGAGCCTTCCAAGTCACCCAGTCTTCTGTGTGCCCAGGGGGGAGTCTCTCATTTGGTATCAGCCATTGATTGAGGTTCTGGGTTTGAGCCTGCCACTTTTGGACTCTCGCTTGCTGGGGTGTTCCAGCGAGTGTCTCTGTAGGTCTTAGAAAACTATTTCTTGTTTTAAGTCGTTGATGTGCTGGCTGATACCCAAACAAGGGATGGGCTGGAGATGTCATTGCCTTGGTCCTTTCACTATTGTCTGCTACTTCCCAGCAGATGTCAGGTGGTGCGACATGTGAGTGTGGAGGGGAGCAAAGCACTGACCACCTGAGCCCTGCCAGATGCACAATGGAGGACCTCCTTGCGGCAACACCAGAGGCACTCCAAGTGGCCAGATACTGGTCAAAGGACATTTAATCTTGGAAGGCGCTGAACAGACTGTGTTCTGGCACCATGAGATGCAGAACCAACCTCAAGAAATGGGGCCACAAAGTGGAATCCACGACATGCGAGTGTGGAGAAGAGCAAACTACTGACCACCTGCTGCAATGCAACCTGAGCTCAACACCAGAAGCACTCCAAGTGGCCAGCGACTGGTCAAAGGACATTTAATCAACTACCAAACTTGCAAATTCTGTATTTTGTCTGTTTGTTTGTTTATTTTTGTTAAAAATGTAATACAAGTGTCTGGTTGCCGATGACATGATAAATAAATAAATACATAAAATTGACATAAAAAGCAGTTCAATACACAGTAACGTAATGTAGTTATTACTGTATTTGCAAATCTAGCACCAAAACAGCATAAAGGACAACCTTCTACTTCTGTCTTCATCACGATTTTCCATTCTTTCACAATTGAAATTCCGTACCCATTTTGCCACATGCTGTCTTGACATTATGTCCTCTCCGTAAACTGAAATGATCTTGCGATGATTCGCAGCAGCGTTCATGCCCTTAGCATTTAGGTAGCATATTAAGGTGCGAAGTTCACACTTGGAGGGAAATGGAATGAGGATGCTCATCTCTAAACTTCACCACAACGCCAGTTGATGAGCTGCTGACGACTGGCATTGCTCGTTCAGTTCCGCTGGCTTCCCGCTACACAGCAGTGATATCAACTTCTCCGTGAGAGCTATGTAATCTTACTTTCCGGATAACCATTGTACATCTATGCAAGCTTTCTCCTTGCAAACAACTTCACTTTCCCCTTTATATTCCCATCACAGCCGTCTTCACTGATCGAGAGAAAACAGAGCAGGTCTGGGCTGGTGGTTTTGCCGTACATCATGTCCTCCACTTTGAGGAGACTCTCCGTTGCCTCGGTGACTTCCTCTGTTGGATCCACATCGTCTACCTCTTCAGACAGTACTTCCTCCAGACCAGGGTCAGATGGGTGAGTTGTGGCATCTGCAGAAAGTGGAGTGAAATAAAAATTAGAATAATCTGGTTTGTTTTAATCAGAAGTAACTACAGTAGACCTTTAGTATCTTATGTGTTTGTTGCAGGGCTCAAGTCCAATTATGTATGACTAGCCGTCCCCTGCCACACGTTGCTGTGGCCCAGTTGCTGTGCCCTCCATGATTGTTTTCTTTTGTGGCATCTACAGGTCCATCCTTGAACCCCTTGTGGAAAGGAGGAGTTCAGCATCCTCCAGGATGGATGATCTCTTTACCAAAGAGGATGGTGAAAACCAGACGAGTAAATTCAGGCGGAAGAACTGGAGCCTCAGCAAATCTCAGGTTATGGCGGAGAAGGAGTCCGAAACAGAATTGACGTCCAAAATGGTAATATAAATGAATAAAAGCATTGTTGGGCTTTCCAAACAAAGATTAAATATTGGTGGGGCCATGGTGGCACAGTGGGTTAAATCTCTTAGTTGCAGAACTTGCTGACCAGATGGTCGGTGGTTCAAATCTGCGGGGCAAGGTGAGCTCCCAGTGTTAGGCCCAGCTTCTGCCAACCTAGCAGTTCAAAAACATGCAAATGCAAGTAGCAGTGGGACTGTGGCACAGCTATCTGAGTGTCAGCTGCATTAAGATCACTTCTGACCATAAGGTCAGAGTGAGCTTCCGACCAATTTGTAGCTTGTTGTCGACCTTTGCAACCTAAAAGACAGTTGCATCTGTCAAGTAGGAAAATTGGGTACCACCTATGTGTGGGGAGGCTAATTTAACTAATTTACGAGGGCATAAAAAATACTCAAGCAAAAGCATGCGGGGAATGCGGAAGTACTTCATCAGTGTCACAGATGGACGATGCAAGCGACAGCTCCCCTGGCGGCCAGAAAAAGTTAAATAGCCTCTGACTGTCTGTCTCTATCTGTTGTGTGTCTTTGGCATTGAATGTTTGCCATATATGTGTACATTGTAATCCGCCCTGAGTCCCCTGTAGGGTGAGAAGAAATACTGTATAGAAATACTGTAAATAAATAAAGAAATAGATCAGTAGATACCGTTTCGGCAGGAAGGGAACGGTACTCCATGCAGTCATGCTGACCACATGACCTTGGAGGTGTCTACGAACAACGCCGGCTCTTTGGCTTAGAAATGGAAATGAGCACCAGTCCCCAGAGTTGGACTCGACTAGACTTAATGTCAAGGGGAGACCTTTACCTTTAGCAAGTGTCTTTTCCTTAGGTGCCACATTTGAATTGGGGGGAAAGGAGGAGATAAATCAATTGTAGGATCCAGGGAAGTCATGCTACCCCTCTATTCTGCCTTGGTCAGACCACACCTAGAATCATACTGTGTCCCATTCTGGGAGATGTTGACAAGCTGGAATGTGTCCAGCTGGAGAACAAGCCCTATGAGGAGCGGCTTAAAGAACTGGGCATATTTAGCCTGCAGAAGAGAAGGCTGAGAGGAGGCATAAAGAGGGCCATGTATAAATATGTGAGGGGAAGTCATAGGAAAGAGGGATCAGGTTGTTTTCTGCTGCCCTGGAGACTAGGATGCAATGGAACAATGGCTTCAAACTACAGGAAAATAAGGAGATTCCACCTGAACATGAGGAAGAACTTCCTGACTGTGAGAGCTGTCCAGCAGTGGAACTCTCTGCCCCAGAATGTGGTGGAGGCTCCTTCTTTGGAGGCTCTGAAGCAGAGGCTGGATGGCCATCTGTCGGGGGTGCTTTGAATGTGATTTTCCTGCTTCATGGCAGAATGGGGTTGGACTGGATGGCCCACAAGGTCTCTTCCAACTCTAGGATTCTATGAAAACATGAGTCTTTTTATGAGAAATGGCTTCAAACTACAGGGAAGGCGATTCCACCTGAACATGAGGAAGAACTTCCTGACTGTGAGAGCTGTTCAGCAGTGGAACTCTCTGCCCTGGAGTGTAATGGAGGCTCTTTCTTTGGAGGCTTTGAAGCAGAGGCTGGATGGCCATCTGTCGGGGGTGCTTTGAATGTGATTTTCCTGCTTCTTGGCAGAATGGGGTTGGGCTGGATGGCCCACGAGTTCTCTTCCAACTCCGTGATTCTATGATAATATCTTTTTATGAGAAATGGCTTCAAACTACAGGGAAGGAGATTCCACCTCAACATGACGAAGAACTTCCTGACTTTGAGAGCTGTTCAGCAGTGGAACTCTCTGCCCTGGAGTGTGGTGGAGACTCCTTTTTTGGTAGCTTTTAAACAGAGGTTGGATGGTCATCTGTTGGGGGTGCTTTGAATGTGATTTTCCTGCTTCTTGGCAGAATGAGGTTGGATTGGATGGCCCATGATTCCAACTCTATGATTCTATTGCATGTTTTGGGAAAGGGTCAGACCAAAGCATTTTGCTGCCCGAGGCAATAAATAAGCAGATAATGTGCAGCGTTTTCTCTCCTCTCTTTCTGTCTTTCCAGAACACATCAGGAAAGACACTGAGGCCAAAGAGTCTCCAGCTGGGAGAGAGCAGGCTGACGCTTCTTCAGGGCTCTTTGCTCCAACAAACCATCCCTCTCAGCCCACCGCCCATCACTCCCAAAACGCCAAGAACCCAAAGTACGTTCTGGTGCAAGAAAATGAGGTTCATGCATCTCATCTCTTTTCAGACCATTTTTTTTTTAGCACCGGGGAACTGCATTCTAATAGTTTTGTCAATACAAAACCAGATAGATCTCTGTAATAACAAGGGATGGAGAGGCTGATGGGCCTGCCTCATCCAGGGGAATGAGTCACAGGCTGGCAAAGGCATTCCACTCCATTTCCCCATAAACATCCAATTGCTGAACTCCATCTGTATCGTGACCAGAATAGTAATGTGCATTAGGTATTATGTTCTTTTAACCTTGGCTAAATAGGACCTGAGCCCGCAGTGGCGCAGTGGGTTAAACTGCTGAGCTGCTGAACTTGCTGACTGAGAGGTCGGTGGTTTGAATCTGCAGAGCAGGGTGAGCTCCCACTGTTAGCCCCAGCTTCTGCCAACCTTGCAGTTCAAAACATGCAAATCTCTATATATATATATGCTCTGTGCATAATGAGTACCTTAAAAACAAAAGAACACTCTCTTTTCTTCCTTCCCTCTTTTTCTTTCCCTTCTTCTTCCTTCCTTCTCTACCTGTTTCTTTTCTCGCCTCCTTTGCTCTTTGGTTCCATCCTTCCTTGTCTCATTCCTTCCTTCCCTCCCTCTTTCTCTCTTTCGTTCCTTCTCTTCTTCCTTCCTTCCCTCTCTCTTTCCTTCCTTCCCTCTTTTTCTTTCCCWTCTTCTTCCTTCCTTCTCTACCTGTTTCTTTCCTCACTTCCTTTGACCTTTGGTTCCATCGTTCCTTGTCTCATTCCTTCCTTCCTTCCCTCCCTCTCTCTTTCCTTCCTTCCCTCTTTTTCTTTCCCGTCTTCTTCCTTCCTTCTCTACCAGTTTCTTTCCTCACTTCCTTTGATCTTTGGTTCCATCGTTCCTTGTCTCATTCCTTCCTTCCTTCCCTCCCTCTTTCTCTTCTTCCTTCCCTCTCTCTTTCCTTCCTTCCCTCTTTTTCTTTCCCTTCTTCTTTCTTCCTTCTCTACCTGTGTCTTTCCTTACTTCCTTTCCTCTTTGGTTCCATCTTTCCTTGTCTCATTCCTTCCTTCCTTCCCTCCCTCTTTCTCTCTTTCATTCCTTCTCTTCTTCCTTTCTTCCTTCTCTCTTTCCTTCCTTCCCTCTTTTTCTTTCCCTTCTTCTTCCTTCCTTCTCTACCTGTTTTTTTCCTCACTTCCTTTGCTCTTTGGTTCTATCCTTCCTTGTCTCATTCCTTCCTGTCCAAGTTTCATGTCTATTCGTCCAGTGGCTTTTGAGTTATGTTAATCCCTCAAACGAACATTACATTTTTAATGTATTATTTGAGAACACAGAAATGCTGGACCACTCTCACAACCACCATGTCAGGCTACACAGAGAAGCCATTGAAATACACAAGAAGCATGTGGACAATTTCAACAGAAAAGAGGAAACCATGAAAATGAACAAAATCTGGCTTACCAATATTAAAAAAACTCTAAAATTACAACAGCACAACAACAGAGAGGAAACAAACAAGGACAAATAATCACCTCCCAACAAAAGATTGCTCCAGGCACTGTCAGGCCATTATATGCTAATCAAGGTGATCAGTTGAAACATTCACACCTAGCTCCAGCAGACAAGACCCTTTTTTCTAGTTCCAACAGACCTCACGACCTCTGAGGATGCTTGCCATAGATGCAGGCGAAACGTCAGGAGAGAATGCCTCTAGAACATGGCCATATAGCCTGGAAAACCTACAACAACCCAGTGATTCCGGCCACGAAAGCCTTCGACAATACATTCAGGTGGAATGTCCTTTTAGGTGGACCTTGGGAGCAATCCATTAAAGAAAGATTCCCCCAGGCACTTCCAAGCCATTAAATGCTAATCAAGGTGGTCAGTTGAAACATTCACACCTAGCTCCAGCAGACAAGAGTCCTTTGCCCCACCCTGGCCATTCCACAGATATATAAACCCATTTTCCTAGTTCCAACAGACCTCACTACCTCTGAGGATGCTTGCCATAGATGCAGGCGAAACGTCAGGAGAGAATGCCTCTAGAACATGGCCATATAGCCCGGAAAAACCTGCAACAACCCATTACATTTTTATTTATATAGATATAAATTTTTGCAAAAGCCACAGAAAATCTCATCAAGAATTTTGACATCCTGGCTGTTTTGGCCTTTCCGCTATAAATAAGTTACTATAAAAAAAGTTATAATAAAAAACTGTAAGAAAATGGAGAGCATTTGATCAATTTCCCTTCTGCGTTCATATTGAGACAAGCTCTTCTCGACTTGGCCAAAAGTTTTGATAGCTTCCCTCTCCCATCACTAGATATCAGAGTCTGGGAGGCTACAAGGGAGAAACTCCAATGCGAAGGAAAACCCCGCCAGGCCTTTCTGGTGTCACTCTGGATTCCATTTTCTGTTGTCCCAGGTGTGCATTTTTCACATGTGCTTAGATTCATATACTTGAAGCCTGGAGACATTTCGGTTTGGGGAATTGCAAGTTGGATTCCAGGCTGACACATCTGTTCAGAATCAGCTTCTCAATGCCATGTGTGCGTGCACCTCAGATTACAATTGGCACAAGAGTGCTTCCATCCGAACCCTGTCTTTCATCCGTGGTCTTTGTTTTTTTGTAGCCTCAACAATCTGTCTTTTCTTTTCCTCCTCTCCAGGTTTCCCTTCTTTGCAAACAGAAGGATTAGCCACCATTCTTTCGCAGAGCACTCCGCCCCCACCTCCGCCCAAATCCAAACCCTACGAGAATAGCAACTCTAGGAACTCTGCAGAGGTAAGGAAATGCAAAGTGACACCTTGATTTATTTATTTGGATCCTGTCACTTGAGAGGAAGCAGCGCCGGTGGAAATTTCCCTGGGGCTTTCCAGGCTGATGCTGTTCTTGAGAAGTGGCTCTCTGGTTAGTCCATGGACTCGTATCCTGAAACTACCAGTAGGTTAGGAGACGTTTTTCCATGGGCCAAAAAAGTTGTTCTGAGAAGACCTAAATCAGTGGTTCTCAACCTGGGGGTCGGGACCCCTGAGGGGGTCGCGAGGGGATGTTAGAGGGGTCGCCAAACACCATCAGAAAACACAGTATGTTGTGTTGGTCATGGGGGTTCTGAGTGGGAAGTTTGGGCCAATTCTATCATTGATGGGGTTCAGAATGCTCTTTGATGGTAGGTGAACTATAAATCCCAGCAACTACAACTCCCAAATGTCAAGCTCTATTTTCCCTAAACACCACATTTGGGCATGTTGAGTATTTGTGCCACGTTAGGTCCAGATCCATCATTGTTTGAGTCTGGATCTAGGTGAACTACAACTCCCAAACTCAAGGTCAGTGCCCACCAAACCCTTCCAGTATTTTCTGTTGGTCGTGGGACTTCTGTGTGCGAAGTTTGGTTAAATTCGATCATTGGTGGAGTTCAGAAAGCTCTTTGATTTTAGGTGAACTATAAATCCAAGCAACTACAACTCCCAAATGTCAAGCTCTATTTTCCCTAAACACCATATTTGGGCATGTTGAGTATTTGTGCCACGTTAGGTCCAGATCCATCATTGTTTGAGTCTGGATCTAGGTGAACTACAACTCCCAAACTCAAGGTCAGTGCCCACCAAACCCTTCCAGTATTTTCTGTTGGTCGTGGGACTTCTGTGTGCGAAGTTTGGTTAAATTCGATCATTGGTGGAGTTCAGAAAGCTCTTTGATTTTAGGGGAACTATAAATCCCAGCAACTACAACTCCCAATTGACAAAATTAACCCCTCGCCCAACCCCACTAGTATTCAAATGTGGGTATATTGGGTATTTGTGCCAGATTTGGTCCAGTGAATGAAAATACATCCTGCATATTGGATATTTACATTACAATTCGTAATAGTAGCAAATTTATAGTTATGAAGCAACAACGAAAATAATATTATGGTTGGGGGTCACCACAACATGAGGATCTGTATTAAGGGGTTGTGGCATCAGGAAGGTTGAGAAACACTGACCTACATGCTGCTGAGCAAAATGATGACTCTCGAACAAATCGGTAATGCCCTGCATTATTTGCTGTCTGCTGTCTGCCTTGGAGTCTTATTTATTTATTATTTATTTATTTACAGCTTTTATATTCCACCCTTCTCCTCACCCCACAGGGGACTCAGGACGGATTACAGTGTACACATATATGGCAAACATTCAATGCCAATTTTCGACATACAAACATATACAGACGTACACAGAGGCTATTTAACTTTTTCTGGCTACCAGGGGAGCTGTCGCTTTCATCGTCCATCTGTGACGCTGATGAAGCACTTCCGCATTCCCCGCATGCTTCCCCGCTGGAATGCTCTGCTGGAGTCTTCTTTATGGCCTCATAAATCAGTTAATTGACCTTGAAGGAGCTGGGGGTGGTGACGGCCGACAGGGAGCTCTGGCGTGGGCTGGTCCATGAGGTCACGAAGAGTCGGAGACGACTGAACGAATGAACAACAACAAATCAGTTAATTTAGCCTCCCCACACTTTAAGTTGGTACCTTATTTTCCTACTTGACAGATGCAACTGTCTTTCGGGTTGCAAAGGTCTACAACAGGCTACACAATTGGTTGGAAACCCACTCCAACCCGGGCTGGCTTCGAACTCATGACCTTTTGGTCAGAGTGATCTTAATGCAGCTGACACTCAACCAGCTTCGCCACAATCCCGGTCTTGGAAGTAAGGCCTACAACATCTAGGACTGGTTGATGTCAAGCCAGTTGCACAACTCCTATACAGTGCCCAGTTAGGCCCCTTTTCTGACTTTCCCTCATTCGAGAGTGTACAATCCAAATTCTTAAGATCGGCCTTCTAGGTACCATGATGTGTCTCCAACACCACTCTCATCTGGAGATGGGCTTCCTGAGAATTGAGGCCAGGATATGGGTGGTTAAACTGAATTATTGGCTTAGACCAGGGGTCCTCAAACTAAGGCCCGGGGGCCGAATACGGCCCTCCAAGGTCATTTACCCGGCCCTTGCTGAGGGTCAACCTAAGTCTGAAATGACTTGAAAGCACACAACAACAACAGTAATCCTATCTCATCAGCCAAAAGTAGGCTCCCATTTCCCATTGAAATATTAAGAAGTTTATATTTCTTAAAATTGTTCTCCATTTTAATTATTGTATTGTTTTTAAGTGTTTTTGCACTATAAATAAAATATGTGCAGTGTGCCTAGGAATTCATTCATGTTTTTTTTTTTCAAATTATAATCCGGCCCTCCAACAGTTTGAGGGACGGTGACCTGGCCCTCTGTTTATAAAGTTTGTGGACCCCTGGCTTAGACTATCCCTCTTGGTGCACTCCAGGTCAGGAAAAAGCCCTCTGACTTTAATACACACTGCATGAAGAATGAAGAAACAAACCTTCTTTTATTGAAGCTTAGTAAATTGCCAGAAGAAATAAATGCTTGTAAGAAAATAAGAAAGTGCCAAAAAGTAATAAGTCTAAAAAAAGTAGTAACACAATGCAATGTCCACACCAGATTTAAAAGCAATCCAAGACAGTATTTATCCAGACAGGAATCAACAGGATGCAAAAATAATCCAAAAGGCTAAACTTCACAGGAACAAAACCGCTTGAACAAGATTTCCATGGCACATGAACTTGATTTCCAAATGATGCCTGATCTAACAGGTTTCCCCTTGAGGCAAACCTTATATCCCAAATCTCAGAAATTGGTTTCACTTTCCTCCACATTTACCCCTTACCAGGCTCGTAGCCAAGATTTTGATTCGGGGGGGGGGGGGGCTGAGTTTGATGGGGGGGCTGAGTCTGAGTGAAAGAGGGTCTATCCTAGCAAACCTTTTGTATCGTTACCCCAATACCCCCATGCATATGGGATATATTGAGTATGGTGATCAGATCATGATATGAATAAACATAACAGTTTAAATAATGCACCAGTAAGGCCTTCTCACGGACCACCATGAGAATTTGGGGGGGGGGGGGGCTGAAGCCCCTCAAGACCTCATTTACATCATTCCCCACATCCAAAGCACCCTGATCCTGAAACACAATCACAGGCTGAACTCCAACAGTTGGATGACTTTGAGTCCAGATGGGAAAAGGGAAATATCAGTCAAAATCTCATCATTGGGCTTCTCTCCAGGACTGCTAACCAGTAGTCATTAGGCATGTGCAATCTATGGTTCTAAATACTTCTAAAGTACTTACAAAACTAAAATTCCGATAGTGAAAACTAGGGGGTGCTGGTACTTTGCTTCTACGGTGTTGCTAAAGTTCTGGTGGTGAAAATTTCAGAACTCTAACAAAACTAATGAATAGGTTCTTGTGGGTTTTTTTCGGGCTATAGGGCCATGTTCTAGAGGCATTTCTCCTGACGTTTTGCCTGTATCTATGGCAAGCATCCTCAGAGGTAGTGTCTGAAAGTTTCACCACCAGAACTTTAGCAACACTATAGAAGCAAAACACCAGCGCCCCCTAGTTTTCACCACCAGACCTTTAGTTTTGTAAGTACTTTACAACCATTTAAAACCATGGATTGCACATGGGCAATCCATGGTTCTAAATGGTTCTAAAGTACTTACAAAACTAGGGGGCACTGGTGCTTTGCTTCTAAAGTGTTGCTAAAGTTCTGGTGGTGAAAATTTCAGAACTCTAACAAAACTTTCAAATTTTCATTGTAAATGGCAGTTCCTAATTGGTTGTGTCATAAAAATCATCAATACTGAAATAAGAATGAAATTTTGAAAATGTTGTTAGAGTTCTGAAATTTTCACCACCAGAACTTTAGAAACACTTTAGAAGCAAAGGACCAACGCCCCCTAGTTTTCACCACCAGAACTTTAGTTTTTTAAGTACTTTAGAACAATGGATTGCACATGGGCAATCCATGGTTCTAAATGGTTCTAAAGTACTTACAAAACTAGGGAGCGCTGGTGCTTTGCTTCTAAAGTGTTTCTAAAGTTCGGGTGGTGAAAATTTCAGAACTCTTAACAAACTTTCAAAATTTCATTATAAATGGCAGTTCCTAATTGGTTGTGTCATAAAAATTGCCAATAATGAAATTTTAAAGTTTTGTTAGAGTTCTGAAATGTTCACCACCAGAACTTTAGCAACACTGTAGAAGCAAAGCACCAGCCCCCCTCTAGTTTTGTAAGTACTTTAGAACTTAGCCAAATCTCAGATTAAAGTACTTACAAAACTAGGGGGTGCTGGTGCTTTCCTTCTAAAGTGTTTCTAAAGTTCTGGTGGTGAAAATTTCAGATTCCTAACAAAATTTCCAAAATTTCATTATTGGCAATTTTTATGATACAACCAATTAGGAACTGCCATTTATAATGAAGTTTTGAAAGTTTGTTAGAATTCTGAAATTTTCACCGCCAGAACTTTAGAAACACTTTAGAAGCAAAGCACCAGCGCCCCCTAGTTTTGTAAGTACTTTAGAACCATACGACCTCGCCAAATCTCAGATTAAACAATGAATAACAGACATTGAACGCCGATCGGACTTAGCCAGCGTCCCATCCTTTGTCACGACTGGATTTAACGTCAGGGGAAAATCTTGACCTTTACCTACTTGAAATGAGATGTAATTTTCCAGTCTGATTGTCCATCTCTCTGCGTTTGGCTTGTTGCAGGTTGCTCCACCTTTGCCCACCAGGCGGGAAGTCAAGCCTCCTCCTCCTCCTCCCAAAGCAAGGAAGTCCAGTGTCGTTTCTTCAGATTCGGGGTTGCAATGACAACTTCACAATGACCAGCTCCTCCCCTTGGACCTCTTCTGTTGTCCTGCTTCCCACGGATATCTTCCTCCCTGGATTTCCTTATTATTTCCTGCTGCTGCACAGACGAACAGTTTCCTCCAGATGTTCTCTTGGGCCGAGACCAAAACAAGCCATCTAAACTATTAGCGGTGCTTCTGAACTTAAGTTTCCTGGTTGCAAGCCAAGATAACAGGTCCTTCTGGCCTTCTCCCAGAACTATCAATCTGCATGGTCATCTGTCTGGAATAATACCAAGAGTTTCTCGTTCGACGCCCATTGGAACAACATCACTCAAGTTTTTCTCCTTAGAGAAGTCTCTCAATAGTTAAAATTGGCCTTGCCCTTTAAACAGTGGTCTGCACCACGCTGTGAAAGGTGGCCATGAATTAATATGAATGGTTCATTTCTTCCCAACTGCGGAAAAGAAAAAAAGAGTATGGAAAAAAGACAACACACAAATCCACAACACATAGATTCTTAGAGTTGGAAGGGTTGGTAGAGCCATCCAGTCCAACTCCCTGCCAAGAAGCAGGAAAAACACATTCAAAGCACCCCTGATAGATGGCCATCCAGCCTCTGCTTAAAAGCCTCCAAAGAAGGAGCCTCCACCACACTCGGGGGCAGAGAGTTCCACTGAACAGCTCTCACAGTCAGGAAGTGGTAGAGCCATCCAGTCCAACTCCCTACCAAGAAGCAGTAAAATCACATTCAAAGCACCCCTGACAGAGGGCCATCCATCCTCTTCTTAAAAGCCTCCAAAGAAGGAGCCTCCACCACACTCCGAGGCAGAGAGTTCCACTGCTGAACAGCTCTCACAGTCAGGAAGTAGTAGAGCCATCCAGTCCAACTCCCTGCGAAGAAGCAGGGAAGTCACATTCAAAGCACCCCTGACAGATGGCTATCCAGTCTTTGCTTAAAAACCTCCAAAGAAGGAGCCTCCACCACACTCCAGGGCAGAGAGTTCCACTGCTGAACAGCTCTCACAGCTAGGAAGTGGTGGAGCCATCCAGTCCAACTCCCTACCAAGAATAGGGAAGTCACATTCAAAGCACCCCTGACAGATGGCCATCCAGCCTCTGCTTAAAAGCCTCCAAAGAAGGAGCCTCCACCACACTCGGGGGCAGAGAGTTCCACTGCTGAACAGCTCTCACAGTCAGGAAGTGGTAGAGCCATCCAGTCCAACTCCCTACCAAGAAGCAGTAAAATCACATTCAAAGCACCCCTGACAGATGACCATCCGGCCTCTGCTTAAAAGCCTCCAAAGAAGGAGCCTCCACCACACTCGGGGGCAGAGAGTTCCACTGCTGAACAGCTCTCACAGTCAGGAAGTGGTAGAGCCATCCAGTCCAACTCCCTACCAAGAAGCAGTAAAATCACATTCAAAGCACCCCTGACAGATGGCCGTCCAGCCTCTGCTTAAAAGCCTCCAAAGAAGGAGCCTCCACCACACTCTGAGGCAGAGAGTTCCACTGCTGAACAGCTCTCACAGTCAGGAAGTGCTGGAGCCATCCAGTCCAACTCCCTACCAAGAAGCAGTAAAATCACATTCAAAGCACCCCTGACAGATGGCCGTCCAGCCTCTGCTTAAAAGCCTCCAAAGAAGGAGCCTCCACCATGCGCCGGGGTAGAGAGTTCCACTATTGAACAGCTCTCACAGTCAGGAAGTGGTAGAGCCATCCAGTCCAACTTCCTATTCACATTCAAAGCACTCCCGACAGATGGCCATCTAGCCTTTGCTTAAAAGCCTCCAAAGAAGGAGCCCTCCACCACACTCTGAGGCAGAGCGTTCCACTGCTGAACAGCTCTCACAGTCAGGAAGTGGTGAAGCCATCCAGTCCAACTTCCTACCAAGAAGCAGGGAAATCACATTCAAAGCACCCCTGACAGATGGCCATCCAGCCTTTGGTTAAAAGCCTCCAAAGAAGAAGCCTATACAACACTCTGGTGCAGAGAGTTCCACTGCTGAACAGCTCTCACAGTCAGGAAGAGGTAGAACCATCCAGTCCAACTCCCTATCAAAAAGCAGGGAAATCACATTCAAAGCACCCCTGACAGATGGCCGTCCAGCCTCTGCTTAAAAGCCTCCAAAGAAGGAGCCTCCACCACACTCTGAGGCACAGAGTTCCACTGCTGAACAGCTCTCACAGTCACTTTGACAATTCCTATCACTTCTGGACTTAAAATGAAATCGCCCTCCATCTGCACCAGCCAAATTCAGTCCTACCACTGCTTCCACTAGAAGAGGACCATGTTATACCCACCTGAAGGATGATGTGGTCCATTATCTCAGACCAAAGAAATTGAGTTCCGGTTTAGCCTAGGGATTCAAATCTAGGCTTATGTAGACTTAGAGACTTGGAGCCTTCATCCTGGATAAACAAGTCCCTCTGTCTGTTTTGATTTCTCCCATTTCTTAAAAAAAATAATAATCACAAGTTATTTCTCTCCTGATTATTTTTTTTTTAATTGAAAGAATGACTTTACTTTCCTTGTTTTTGGAGATTTTGGACCTTGAACTGGTAAATTCTTGGTGGATGAACTACCATGGACTGCACGTTTTAGGTACGGAAGGGTTGCCTTATTATGCGGAGTCAAAGCCGAAATATATAATTTTTATATAATAATAACACTTTATTTATATTCCGCCCTATCTCCCCAAGCAAACTTTCAGTGCCATTTTGGATAGACAGGACAGAGACAGACAGACAGAAAGAACAGAACGGAAAGGAGGGACGTTGCGTCTACGTCCAGCTTTTTGGCACCTTTGGAGGTTGTGCTCGAATCCAGCCACAGGAGGGTGCTGTTGCTCCATCCTCTATGACAAAAAGCCATCAAGATTTCCTCCTTCCTTTTTTGTCGCTGGGCATTTTCTGATCTTTTTTCTTGATGGTGTTGTAAAATACCTCCCCTGCTTATTTTAACGGTACCTTACAACTCAAGCTGTTTTTTGAACTGCTTAGGTCAACAGTAAGCTGGGCTGACAGTCGGGAGCTCATGCCAACCTGGAGCTTCGTACTGACAACCTTCCAGTTAGTATATCTTATCATTGCTGGAGATTTACCAGCCCATCTTTCAGTCTTTGTCTGCCTAACTTCTCCAGATCTTAAAAATGTTGCTTTTTGGAGTATAGCTTGAAAAGTTGTAGAGATTTCTGGCAGTTGTTGTCCAAAAGAAGTATTTATTTCAAGCTCTGCTTTTGTTTGCAGCCATAACTACTGATCACAGCAAATCTTCATCAGAAGGTTTGGATTCAGGTATTACTCCTGGACAGGCCTTGACAAGTCCAAGCAACTTTGCTAGTGAGAAACCTATTGCTTCGCTTTGCCAAGAAATTGATTGTTTCCTCAGAAGATGTCTGATACCTGTTGATGGAGAAAAGGACAATATCTTCAGAGTTGAATTAACCTTTGGCATCATTGTAACTGATGTCATCAATTCCTCATTTTGTTTTCTACTCAGACTTTGAATATAAACAGGATTGTGTGCACCACAACCACTTTTCCCCATCTTGAAATCGTTGGTTTACATTGAGTTTTCTTTTATGTAATAATGGGTTGCCTTAAGACTGAACTAAAAGTATGATTTGCCTTCTGAATTCAGAGTATAGATTTGTGCATGGTGGTGCTTCTTGGCCTCCAAAACCAATATTCATAAACAAGATCATTCATCGGATAAGTGTTTCTCAACCTGGGGGTCAGGACCCATGGGGGGGGGGGGGGGTGTCGTAAGAGAATGTCAGAGGAGTTCCAAAAGATCATCAGAGAAGACAGTATTTTCTGTTGGTCATGGGGGTTCTGTGTGGGAAGTTTGGCCCAATTCTATCTTTGGTGGAGTTCACAATGCTCTTTGATTGTAGGTGAACTATAAATCCCAGCAACTACGACTCCTAAATGCCAAGGTCTATTTTCCCCCAAACTCCAGCAGTGTTCACATTTGGGCATACTGAGTATTTGTGCCAAGTTTGGTCCAGATCCATCATTGTTTGAGTCCACAGGGCACTCTGGATGTAGGTGAACTACAACTCCCAAACTCAAGGTCAGTGCCCACCAAACCTTTCCAGTATTTTCTGTTGGTCATGGGAGTTCTGTGTGCCAAGTTTGGTTCAATTCCATTGTTGATGGAGTTCAGAATGCTCTTTGATTGTAGGTGAACTATAAATCCAGCAACTACAACTCCCAAATGTCAAGGTCTATTCCCCCCCCCCAAAACTCCACCAGTGTTCACAGTTGGGCATATTGAGTATTTGTGCCAAGTTTGGTCCAGATCCATTATTGTTTGAGTCTACAGTGCACTCTGGATGGAGGTGAACTACAACTCCAAAACTCAAGGTCAGTGCCCACCAAATCCTTCCAGTATTTTCTGTTGGTCATGGGAGTTCTGTGTGCCAAGTTTGGTTCAATTCCATTGTTGGTGGAGTTCAGAATGCTCATTGACTATAGGTGAACTATAAATCCCAGCAACTACAACTCCCAAATGACAAAATCAATCCCTCCTCCACATCACCACTATTCAAATATTGGCATATCAGGTATTTGTGCCAAATTTGGTCCAGTGAATGAAATTACATCCTGCATATCAGATATTTACATTACCATCCATAACAGGAGCAAAATTACAGTTGTGAAGTAGCAACAAAAATAATTTTATGATTGGGAGTCAACACAACATGAGGAACTGTATTAAGGGGTCGCGGCATTTCCTAATGTTGTTGAAGGCTTTCATGGCCAGAATCACAGGGTTGTGAGTTTTCCGTGCTGTCTGGCCATGTTCCAGTAGCATTCTCTCCTGACGTTTCACCCCCATCTATGGTAGGCTTCATTAGAGGTTGTGAAGTCTTTTGGAAACTAGGCAAGTGGGGTTGATATATCTGTGGCATGATGTCTAGGATGGGAGAAAGAACTCTTGTCTGTTGGAGGTAGGTGTGAATGTTGTAATGGGCCACCTGGAATAGCCTTGCAGGTTCAAAGCCTGGCTGCTTCCTTCCTAGGGGAATCCTTTGCTGGGAGGTGTTATTATTTATTATTTATTTCTCACACTGCTACCCCGCCCTTCTCAACCCCGAGGGGGGACTCAGGGCGACTTACAAAAAGGCACAATTCGATGCCGGCATCAACAACAAGGTAAAAGAATAAAACATAAACAGTAATTAAACAATTAGGCAGTTAAGACAATTAAACAATCCATTATACATCACAATCCTTAAAAACAATCTAGTGCTCAACGTTTATCATCTCATAGTCCGTAAATTCAAATTCCACATTGTCCAATCCAACAATTCTGGTCGTCACTTGTGCCTTATCTATCTGCCAGATTGCCCAAACGCCTGGTGCCACATCCATGTTTTTAATTTCCTTCTAAAGGAAAAGAGGGATGTCGCTGATCTAATTTCCCCGGGGAGTGAATTCCACAGGTGAGGGGCCACCACCGAGAAGGCCCTGCTCCTCGTCCCCGCCAACCTCACTTGTGATAGAGGTGGGGCCGAGAGCAGGGCCTCCCCAGAGGATCTTAAACTCCGAGGTGGGACGTAGAGGGAGATACGTTCGGACAGGTACGCTGGGCCAGAGCCGTATAGGGTTTTGTAGGTCAAAACCAGCACTTTGAATTGTGCTTGGAACTGGATCGGCAGCCAGTGGAGCTGACACAACAGGGGGTGGTATGACGCTCCGATGAGCAATCTGGCTGCCTCCCGCTGGACTAATTGAAGTTTCCGAACAGTCTTCAAAGGCAACCCCACGTAGAGTGCGTTGCAGTAATCTATCCGGGATGTAACAAGAGCGTGGACTGACTTCCCAAGGTACGGGCGCAGCTGGCGCACAAGTTAGCTGTATATCTCGCCTTACTGAATTTAAGCAATTGCCTTTTCAAAGTCAAAAGCTATTTCTTTACACCTTCTGCCGCTTTCACTGGTTGAGTGTAGTCCATCTCAACTTTTCAAGCCAATCCCGGCAGGTTGTTTTCCGTACCTCAGATCAAATCCACCTTCTTTTCGTTGCCCAGATGGCTCCAGGAAACAGACTGTCAGCATTGGGTTAGGATGGGATAGAGGATCACCATCAATTTTCATCAGAGAAGAGACTGGAGATGTTCTCCAAGTCACCCAGCAGTCCCAATTTGCACATGTGCCTCCAGCTGTGCACTAGTTATTGCCCACGCGAAAGTCTTCGAGCTTCCATCTTCTCCTGGACCCAGTGGGGAGAACTTAGCTAATCTTTTGGGAATATCTCTGTCAGTTTCACTTTTTTTGTCAGGAGGCCTAGCAGATGGCATGGGTTTCCATACTGATGCGCTTTGCATCTTGACTTGGAACCCTCTCGTTTCATCGACTGCTTATTTCCACCTCTGGGAAGAAAGATGGGCACCCTGAATAATCTTTCCAGAAATGAAGTCCATTGCCAACTTTGGGAAAGGATTTTGCTGCACAATGTAGGATGTATCCATCCTACATTGATTCAAAGGCAAATCAAGTCGACAACAACTTTTGTTTAGTTCTGGAACTGTCATTTGTTTCAACTTGGAATGAGTTTTATATGCGAAGCTTTGTTATGCTGAGTCCTTAGCACATTTTGTTGTTGTTCAGTCGTTCAGTCGTCTCCGACTCTTCGTGACCTCATGGACCAGCCCACGCCAGAGCTCCCTGTCGGCCGTTACCACCCCCAGCTCCTTCAAGGTCAGTCCAGTCACTTCAAGGATGCCATCCATCCATCTTGCCCTTGGTCGGCCCCTCTTCCTTTTACCTTCCACTTTCCCCAGCATAATTGTCTTCTCTAGGCTTTGCTGTCTCCTCATGATGTGGCCAAAGTACTTCAACTTTGTCTCTAGTATCCTTCCCTCCAATGAGCAGCCGGGCTTTATTTCCTGGAGGATGGACTGGTTGGATCTTCTCGCAGTCCAAGGCACTCTCAGAACTTTCCTCCAACACCACAGTTCAAAAGCATCGATCTTCCTTCTCTCAGCCTTCCCTAAGGTCCAGCTCTCACATCCGTAGGTTACTACAGGGAATACCATGGCTTTGACTAGGCGGATCTTTGTTGCCAGTCTGATGTCTCTACTCTTTACTATTTTATCGAGACTGGACATTGCTCTCCTCCCAAGAAGTAAACGTCTTCTGATTTCCTGGCCATAGTCTGCATCTGCAGTCATCTTTGCCTAGAAATACAAAGTCTGTCACGGCCTCCACATGTTTTCTCCCTCTATTTGCCAGTTCTCTTCTTGTGGCCATAATCTTGGTTTTTTTATCGTTTACTGCAACCCAGCTTTTGCGCTTTCTCCTTTCACCTTGATTAGAAGGCTCCTCAGCTCCTCCTCGCTTTCGGCCATCAGAGTGGTGTCATCTGCATATCTGAGGTTGTTAATGTTTCTTCCAGCAATTTTCACCCCAGCTTTGCATTCATCAAGCCCCGCACATCGCATGATGTGTTCTGCATACAAGTTAAAAAGGTTGGGTGAGAGTATGCAGCCTTGCCGGACGCCTTTCCCAATCTTGAACCAGTCTGTTGTTCAACAATCTTGAACAGTCTGTTGTTAGCACATTTAGTTCAGGGAAAAAAATGCTTCCATTAGACTGTTGACCGGCGTCCTGTTGCATGTTTACATTGCTATCCTTTTGGATTCAGCATGGTGTGAGCATTGGACTCAAGAGGCCAGGTTTCGAACCCCTGCTTTGGCATGGTGACCTTGGGCAAATCGCACCTTCTCAGCCTCAGAACAACCAATAATAATAATAATAACAGCAACAACAACAATAATACAATTGGCGCTGACAAGATTACCATCTGCCAGCTGCAAAAGGCCATCTTACTGGGATCTGCACGCATTATTCGCCGATACATCACACAGTCCTAGACACTTGGGAAGTGTCCACTGTGTGATCCAATACAACAGCCAGCAAAGTGTCTGCTGAGGACTCATCTTCTTGTGTTTCAAATAATAATAATATTTATTTATCGTGTCAGTATCAACCAGACAATTGTATTACATTTTAAACAAAATTTTAACAAACACAAAACAGAGTTTGCAAGCGTGGTAGTTGATTAAATGTCCTTTGACCAGTATCTGGCCCCTTGGAGTGCCTCTGGTGTTGCCGCAAGAAGGTCCTCCATTGTGCATGTGGCAGGGCTCAGGGTGCATTGCAGCAGGTGGTCAGTGGTTTGCTCTTCTCCACACTCGCATGTCGTGGACACCACTTTGTGGCCCCATCTCTGAAGGTTGGCTCTGCATCATGTGGTGCCAGAGCACAGTCTGTTCAGCGTCTTCCAAGTTGCCCAGTTTTCTGCATGCCCAGGGGAGAGGGAGTCTCTCATCTGGTATCAGCCATTGGTTAAGGTTCTAGGTTTCAGCCTGCCACTTTTGGACTCTCGCTTGCTGAGGTGTTGCAGCGAATGTCTCTGTAGATCTTAAAAAA